CTACGCTCGACAATTTTGCTAACCTACTATAGATTTCCAATTTTTCTTCAATTTATGACTGCATGTGGTCCCAGCATAGATTAAAGGAGTAGACAGGTAATGCCAAAGTAGTGTATGAGTGGAAATTCAAAGTTATGATTTAAAAATGATTGTGTGAGTCAAATGCATTTCAGACAGAAAATTTGTATTAAACTGTCAAGTGGTTCAAACTATTGATTGTTTTGGGAAGCAGCTAGTTATAGATTTGAACACACTATATTCAGTATTCAAGTATGCAGTAGACATGTTCTTAGTCAATTAAAAGTCAGCCGAGGTTCTATATTTAGACCATCGAAGTATATAAAACCCTAGTTCGATGATTTAGACACACGAGGGCACTAGTACTTTTTATTGGTTTATAATTGAAGAAATGTGAATAAAAGTGTTATAAATATAGAAGAATTGCTATTAAGCTAACACGTATCGTTTTTACACGTTCAATTAATTGTCCAGTATCGATTGTTTATATTTGGCCAACCTAAGAAATGGTACCGCTTCTAATTTGTGAATCAATTGGATATTTTAAATTTACAATGTCATTCTCTTACCAAATCAATACATAATCACGAACACTTCTGACATAATACTAGTAATTGAATCGTACAAGAATAAAATTTAGATATCACTGGTTATCAGTTAATTAAGTTACCCAAAGTCTTATTTGTTTATAAATCCTTCCCTTGACTGTGTTTCAACGCATAGTACTTGTACAATAGATAAAAGGAGTATGCTTGTACTACCAATACTTGTACTGCGAAATGACTTCAAAACAGGATCAATAAAAAGCGTAATCAAAAAGCAGTCAAAGCGTTCACAAATATTAACTTTATTATCTACTAGCTGTTGTACCCGTGTTTTTTTTCAACGGGAAGAGGACACAAAATAGAAACATTTTAATCTTTACATCTGTTGCATATAATAGTTACACATCCGCAAACGCTTTTAGAAACAAAATTCAACTTTTATGGCCTTAATAGAAAAGTTAAAGTTATAACTTTTAAATCTGGTAAGTAGTGGATAGCACCATTTTGGTTTTGATTAATTTTAAATCATGTGTAGGCTGATATGAGAAAACCTTACAAAATCTTCGAATACAACTTTGACATACATGATTTACCTTCATCTCCCTTAATTAAATATATTTTAATTTACTATTGACATTTTAAATTTCAATTTTGAAGTTGCAAAAATACTAATTATTAAATTTAAATGAACACTTTTTTTAAATTTCACTCTTCTTTATAATATTAGTAGGATTAAATCACAAATCCTTCCATCTTAAGTTTCTTTACTCACAATAAATCATTAGCAAAACTAAGTCAGCTGTTATAAACTTTAGAAATATTGCTGTGCCTTATCAATACAGTCTTTTGAAATATTAAAGAAACTATATATCTATAGGTACTATACAAAATTTTAAACAAATAATTCAGCATTACAGACAACAGACAAAACTAATATGATTATCAAAGCATCAAGGCCTAAAAAATATAATAGCAAATACAATATATGTTTCATTGCATCTCTGATTCTACTCTATAAAAAATATCAACAAACAACTTAATATACATACCAGTTCTTTTAATCAGTTCCATCGTCCATTTCCTTTACATTTTCACACTTACCATTAAGTAAACATAGTAACAGATATTTCATTGATTTTAGAAACAAAAGAACACTGTGTACTGCTTAGTTTTATGATATTTTCCTTGGTTTAATTTAATCAGTGGTGTGGCAAAACACAAATAATAAATGTATCAAATAAAGTAAATGTGAACTGAAAGCTATGTTAAGATAAAAAAGAGTATTTTTGTATTACTATTTGATAATTAAATATAGTTACACATATACAACAGATTCTAGAAAACAAAAATCAACGATGTACAATTTAGTTATTGATGATATTCTTTAGTTTAATTTAAGCATAGGTTTAGCAAAACACAATAACTTAATTTACCTAAATATACATATAAAAAAACAATGTGATGTGCAAGTTAATCTAACACAAGTTAAACAGTTTGAATTTGTTTAAAGTAGCCTCCAAATTCATACAAAACATCTATAAATTGTAATTTTCATACTGTTTTCATGAAAACATATCAATAACATTATTTTCATAACTTTGACGCTTTAAAAAATCCAAAGCAGAGCCGGAGTTGATACAGCAACGGTTATAAAAACTTTATTTTCTATAATCATTGACATAGTTTTAGAATAAATAATCCATGATTAAAGGTTAGATTAAAATAAACCTACCTCATATTTATGGAAAATATTATATTTAATTTCTTTGTATCAGCTGTCTGAAATTGTGAAATATGCAGTTTAGAGTTCTTCTTGTTTACATTTAAATGTCAAAGCAAATGTAAACAAACATTGTTAGTGTTCTCATCGCAGCCATGGAGACCAATCAATATTTACTTTTAAAATGTTCACCTCAGAACTTTTAAAGCCAAAGGGGCAAAGCCCACGGTCAGTATCGAAGTGTGAATAGTCCTATAATGGTCCTTGGTATGGTAACTATATTTTTGTAAAATTTAAGCCCAATTGGTTCAGTAGTTTTTGTACCTATTAGTAATACACATACAGAAAGACACCATTAGATTTTTATATAATAGTATAGACTGTATAAACAATTTGCAGTCATATGTTTTGATTTTATCATAGATAGATAATTTATTTTTGTAAAAAAATACGACCGACTTCAAAATGCTTTAAAAAGAATGAAATAATTTCAATAAAGTAAACTTTTGTATTAGGCAAGCTCACGTATTTCAAGTCGGCGCGGCTCAAACTGCAAATATGATTGAAATTAAATATTGTGTGTGTATTTTGAAAATCAATAAATTGTAGCTGGATAACATAAATATATAAAAAACATACTGAACTGTTTTGTTTATATATTAAAGGAAATATTTTCTTGTATTTTATGTTTACTTCAGAATAAATGCATAAAGCCGTGTAATTAACTCTAAAATAATAAAATAAAAATGTCGTCGACACTATAGCCACCAGTGTCACCGGACATAAATTAGACACGAAAAACGAGCTAAAAATTTACAATTGGATGGGAAGTCTACTTTTGTTGGTTAGTCTATGATTTTATTTAGCTAAAGTATCTTATGAACAAGAAAGGAGACGTGCACAATTTTGTTTACACATAAATATGAAAATACAAACTTCGAAGCCTATGAACAATCGCCAAGGGTGCCATGATCGGTGTTGACATTGTCACGTACGCCACGACCACGAGATCCAAGAGGCATTGATTAGAACAGCGCAATACAAGAGCCGGGAGTATAGTAGAACAGTAGAGTCAGATAACCTACGATCTGTGATGTCGATAGCATTGTTGCTTTCTCCTGCTACTCTACAGGAGCAAGAACGTGCTTAGCGACAGAGTTGCCAAAATGTCAGGTGTGATTTTCTCACGATTACCTCATTACCGTATTGCTACTGAATTTCCGCCTTTCAAATGTTGTTTCGCATGTATTTTAGGCTCTCATCAAAATATTTAGTTTAGCAATATTAATTTATCTGTCTAACTCTTGTGCTCTAACCAAATATAAGGTATCAAAGATGCCGCAAATTGTACAGTTCAACGGAATGCATGACGCCGATAATCATCATTCATCAATGTCAGCGCCAGAAAATATACAATTATTTGTAAATGACTGGTAACTTTTATGTCTCTAAAAAAATATATATCATCAACGAGTTTGTGCACCGGTGTTTCTGATGTAATTCAACATACAATCGAAGATAAATAAAATAACTTTAAATAAAATTAAAACTAAACAATCATGCTGTACATTAACTTGTAATATAATAGACTAGAGGTATTGGACTTAATGTAAAAAAACTACGTTAAGTTAGCAAGTGGAGACGCTGAACTGGGGTTATTTAAAACTTAAAACATATACAGTATAACATAACTTTGAAACTTTGAAAGTTTATGAACTAAAAAAATACCAAACTAGGGTTGCCCTTAATAGTTTTGGTAATGTGACATTCTAATGAATGTGTAATTAGCTAGATAAATTTTACAACTTTGATAAATTCTACATTTTTATATCTGTCAGAAAACTCCTGTTACTCTACAAAACCTACCCTTAAGAGAAAAAGTGTTTTAAGAACTAAGACTAGTATCTGAATTATAATGTTATCATAGACTAATAATGGAAATGGCAACGAAAGTTGGACATTAAAATAGAGGTTCAAACGCAAATGTGGGTCCTCTACAATTGAAAATGTATGTACATATATAATATGCGGTTAATTAATTAGGTAAAATACAGTAGAACCTTATTGATAACAAGACTCTCAAAGGGATTATAAAATCTATGACTTGTTATCAAGGTTGACTTCTTATCTAGGTTTGCAATAACACGTGATTAGGGGTAAAATAATTTCAAGGGGATTTGAAATGACCCTTTATCAAGGGTGACTTGTTATCGAGGTTCTACTATAGGTCCCATAATGCAGAGTTCTTGTGAGAAAATTTAAGATAGGTTACCCACCCAGGACTATTGGTACACAAAAGTACAATTTTTCAAAATATCAACAGGTCAAAAAGTAAATAAATACACATATTTCATTAAAAACTATATGAAGTTAAAAAAACTAAAGAAACTACCTATAGGCATTGAAAAATGACAACATGATTCTATGTAAAAATACCAGTGGGATGACACTGAAGTAAAAAACAACAGCGATACAAATGAAAATACAAAACCATGCCCGTATGTATACTGAACTAGAGTTAATCCGTTGGTAAAAATTCGGTGAATAAACATAAACATGATCATTGATCAATTAAAACCCAATTTGTGGTATTTGAAACCAAATCGCCAATACAGTTCATTCCACTCAATGAACTCTATGATAAACACAGTTAACCTTACATTGCAAATTCCTAATCACACTATATAAAATAACCAAAAACAACACAGTACACATACCGATCTGGTGAAAATCACATGAAGAATGAGGTCCAGGAGGGTAGGAATCACTACAAGAGGAGATTCATAGATTTTAAGAACACTTGTCATACAATAAACAATGAGAACTTGGAAAGAGATCAGACGACACTGTTTTGTTTGAGGTCTTGCGCTTTGACGTTCGCCGGAGCAGGAGTGGCTGGGCAGGCAGGGAGGGAGAGGGTGAGATCATCCTTTTTTACACCAATCAATAAAGGCTGGCGCACCATCTAGCAGTGAAGAGAGGAACTAGCTCAGCGTTTTTTGCTGGATCCGCCTGCCGCAGTGTCACCACCTGAGGGATTTTATCCCCGTTTCGGGATTTTGTCTGTGACCGTGGGATAGGTTATGAGACGGGAGGAAAATTAATTTGCAAAATTATAAAAAAACTGCCCATCAATTAAAATGCATTTAAATTAAGTGTAGTTCTTTTAATCAAAATTGACAAAATTACCTCTAGTGATGAAGTGAAAGAGGTTAAAAGACAGTAGTTAGGTAATAAAACACGAATCCAAATACTGTAGCAAATTTGGGACTTGAGTAGATGGGATATTGGCGATATACGCGGGATATATTTTCTCCGTTAAGTGAAAACACAACTGCACGTGCACCATTTGGTATTGTACTGTTGCTATTGTGCTGAATTTCGTAATTCTTGGAAAAAGTTGTTTTGAAGAAACTCATCCGACCACTCTTCTCTTACCATAGACAAAAAGAATTAAATATAGACTGTCAGCCGCGCTGCGGCACAGGAAACTACTATAACCATAACCATATACTACTAACACCATGGTTGCTATAGGTTCTGGCGCACCCCGCTGGGAGCACCGTGTAGTTACGTAGCGCGTACGCCGTAACTTCATGGCGCTCCCAGCGGTGTGTGCCAGAACCTATGGTAACTGCAGCTCGGCTGACTGTCTATATTTCATTCTTTTTGTCTATGGTCTTACTGACTGGTTATTTATTGTTACTGTTGGTGTAGCTGTACAAGGCCCCACTAGAAAAAAACTTTTCTAGTTTTTCTAGTGGGGCCTTGAGCTGTAGGGGAATCAGATATCTATAATCTATAACTATAAATAAAACAACGGGGAGTGGATTGGACACTAAAAAATGAGACCCATAAGTATTGCCCGAATAGTACAAAAATCGTACACGCAACCATTTATAAAATACTAAACTAATTTGTCATTCGTGTAATTTTACATCAGAACTATGATTATTATATAGATGTAGCTCTTTTGAAATCTAAATTTTACATTGTTATAGTAAGTCACCTTGTGTACTTAAAAAGTCTCCCAAATATTTGAATAAGTGGCAATTCAATTTAGTAACACAGAGGAAAGACAATTCAACTCTTGACAATTTAAATTATGGTGTGGATATGCTTATTAAAAGTTAAGTTAATGTCTGTGGGTTATTATTTTGATTTAAAATAATCATATAGTTTAATTTAAGCCAAAAAGTCTGAAAAGGATTATGTATAAGGTGTAAATTTAGCTATAATGATTAATTAACGTTTAAGAATAAATGCAAAATTAGTGTCACACTAAAATTACTTAATAGTAAAAAGGATTTAGTTATTTATTTATTGTAAAAAAATCCAAAGAAATATATTAATTTCGCAAGATGCTTGGTATATCCCCCAACTTCATTGCTTTATTACTGTTCTAGTTTCGTTTGTTCGGATTGTGTTATTTTCAAAATTTACACTGTTTACAATGTCGAGTTGCAATAGAGGAAATGTAAGTTTGCACTGCCTAATTAAATCGCAGAAGACAGCACATTTATAACATCGTAGGAATCACTCAATAATTTGGCCTTGGCCCGAAGTAGTTGTATTTTCTAATTTCGCTAAAACTACTTGGCTACCATATAGTTGTATGTAAATAATCTTAATCATTTAATGAACAATTTAATAAATATTAGAATGAATAAATGGCATTCACCATTCATTACTCACACTTACTACTACTGCATTACTTGTTAAAACGCTGAATCCACTCAACTCAGGTCTAAAGTCATATTTTTGTACCAAAGCATTAGACAGACATAAAATAACTACATTGGAGGAAAATGATAAATGAGTGTCCTGCTATGTAAGGTCGCGTTTTCGGGTTTCACAGAATTTTACAACATGTTTAAAACGTTTTTGTTTTTAACAGTTTTTACCACAATAATTTAAAATATTTTGTTGTAAACTCCATTCCCAACTTCCTATAATGTTCCCAGCTGTAATAATATTTGTTGTATACACGGAAAACTGCAAACTGCTGAAACCATTGGAATGTTATCAAAACTATAGTTTGCATGGATTTTGAAAACCTTGTTTAAATGCAAGCTGCAAACTTCTGTCCACATGCGGCTTAATTGCCCCTCTCAAGTCACTTGCTAGTTTATAAAGTACTGTATGTTATTATACAGACTGTCCCAAAAGTCCCGGACCGGTTTAATATTTTCTAAACTACAACAGATGAATCAATAAGATTTGGTACACCAAAACCACACCTAAAAATCTACTTTTTTAAGGAAATATCAATTTTCTGTCATATCATGGGGACGTCCCGCAAGGAGTCAGAAGGAAATCTTAAATTCTCGCGTTTTTCACGCTGCGTTCTTGCGTGAAAAAACGCGAGAAATATGGGCAGCATTAAATGTAATGAGGTATGCCACACGGAGTGTGTTTTCACGCAGATAAGGCGCGTCTGCAAAATCACCCGCCGCGGGCCCGCAGAAGGATGGACTGGGGTGCATTTTTGAAGCTTGTTTTCACGCTCTGTCCCTGGCCACACGGGCGGGAGCAACACGCAGCTTTGATCAAGTCGTCCTAGCAAGTTAAATAAAGATAAATGTATCTAATTTTTTCCAGGATAGCGTAAAATATTTTTGGGTCTTGCCAATTACACAGTAGGATCTTAACGGAGCCTAACGGAGTTAAAGGCGGCCGTGGTAAATCAATAGGCATAGTTTAAAAACTTACTCTTTTGTTGGTTAGTCGTTGCTATAAGACAATCCTAAGCACATAAGGCCACGATCCTAAGATCAGCTGAGGCATAGGGCATAGTGTATTCAAGGACAGCTGTAGCTAGTTCCGATTTCGATCCTCAGGTCCAACCAAATACTTGAACAACCGATCAAACCAGTGATCTGGCTTGTTTAAATTGTTATACTTGTTAATTATTTCAATCAAATTTATATTTAAACATCATCCCAAGCCAAAACCTGACTATTTTCATGGCGTAATGGGGGGTCGTGATTTCTTATAGTACGCCCTCGTTGAAAAGTCATTCTGTAAACTGTTGCAAGCTTGGTGGTGGATGTGTAGTGTATGTGTATTTCATTTCGGTCCCCAGACAAGACCCCAGTTTGCGTTATTGGGAGCACCTCAACCTCAATATTTTAGATTAACGCCATCTTAGGATGTTAAAAAAAGACTTAGATTAACTATATTCCTCCACTTTTAATATGTGTTTGTTTTTTGTGGTCTCCAAACGAATGGGATTATCCTTGAGAAACATGTAAGTTAATCTAAATGCTCAGTCTATGCTTAAGACTATACCCTACTTCTCTAGCCTAGATACCGCCCTTATGAGATCATGTTTATCTTAATTTGACATTACACGTTTATTATCTATTAAACTACTTGACTCACTGATTTAATTTTGATAGCTGGGATACAAGTCGAATAGGTCTTTCTCCTATAGAATGAACCTAAACACAAACTCTAATTCTTGAAAATGTTCATTCTAATGCTGTAAATCAAAGGTTTTGGTGGAATTGATTCAAAGGCTTGACATAAGACATTTAACCCCATGCAGCCTTTTAATGCATTAGTTTTCAACCAGGACCTGTGGCCTTGGAAGCTTGTTTTAGTAGGGTATTCACCTTGTAATTTGAGGTACGGTAGGCCTACTTGAGGCCTACCAAGTTTGTCCCCAATGTAACTTTGGGTATTGTGTTATTCCACCTTCGTATGAATCTTGTCAGCCTAAGAAAATGTGGTTACAATCTCTCATTCCCTTTCTAAATGCCGAAGTTCCGGATTAAATTACTCAAGTGCAAGACAGGTAATAAGGCCTAGGCCCAATAGGCCTAAAACGGGGTTTTACGTAGCCTAAGCTAGGCCGAACAAATGAATGAAAACCAATTCTTCCTATAAGCTTAATCTAGGTTAAGTTGTGTACACTTCTGCAGAGAACCTATGATAAATTAGGCTACCGGATGAATAACGATGTAGCTTATATTGAAAAGAACTTAAGTTAGGCATTTATAAATTTATATCTCTGGTTCGATAATTGTATATCGTAACTTAGGCCCTAAAGAATTTAATCAATTGTAACTCAGGGCCCAAAGTTATATGAAAAACAACAACAATATGGTAAAATTGACGATTCTTTTTATTAATTTTAAGTTATCCCTTTTTTCCACTTAAATATAGCCTAGGCTAGGCCGGGTACACTTCCATATCTGTTGGCACAAACAACCGAATGAGTAATATTGATTATTCGTTTTTTCAATTCGATATATCGTTTGGTTAGTTAGGTTAGGTTAACCTTGCCTAACTAACCGAACGATATGTCGAATAATCGATGTATCGATCAATATTTTCATTCGGTTGTTTGTGCCAACAGATGGAAGTGTACCCGGTAGGCCTACAAGTCAAACATTCTATAGGGCGTGGCATTTGTGACACAACCGATTTTTTTATAATCTCTTTTTAACTTAAGTCTTAAGTTACAATAACTGTCAGCAAGCGGGGCCAGATTTCCAAATAGGGCTTGGTATTCCCGGGTCAATGGGCGCAAGGTCGAAGGAAAAAATATATTTTTATAAGTTATCTATAAATCAAATAACTTAACTTAAGTTAAATAGCCATAACCATTATGCAAAATAGACTTACCATTTAATGTAAAAATTTGAAGCCAAGAAAATAGATAAAGTTCAGGACCATCTCATCAGAAGGTAGGCAGTACTAAGTTTTGTTAGTGTAGGCCTAGGTATTAACTTGGGCTAAATCATGGCCACATTATAAAAACAGGCCGTAATGCTCGTCTAGCATGACGTCACGATAGAAGACGGCATTGACGTAATGTTGCCATTTGTGATCAGGTGCTTGATTAATCTTTTCATCGAAAACATAAATATACCGGTAACCTTAATTACGTCATTGCCGTCTTCTATCGTGATGTCATGCTTGACGAGCATTACGGCCTGTTTTTTAGTGTGGCCTTGGTTTACACGTTCGCGGCGGCACGTCAAATGGCGGGCGTATCCCTAGTGCGTTGCAGCCCTCAGCGCCGAACAAACCCGATTGCCGCGTGTGATTGGCTTTCCAATATCAGTCTGACGAATAGCAAATAACGTGCGAGGATGTCCTGCTTTACAACGAGAGTCGACGTAGTTCGCTAAACACCCACAAAAAATCAATTAGGCTATGTTAGTACAGAAATTTTTCTTTTTATTTTAGTTTTAGTTTATATTTTGTAATTGTAACGTTAAGAAGTATGTATTTTTGTATTCTGTATATTATGTGGAAAATAAACATATTATTTCATTAATTCATTCACAGATAGCAGCACTGCTTGGAACGTAGCCGGTCCCATTGGAATTGTATTGCCAAATGGAGGGAAAAAGACGGGACAAAAAGTAGATTTTTGAGATTGCCAGACGGGGATTTTACGGGGATATTTACTACCAACCTACACCACAACAAAATACAGTATACTATTGAGCAGTGCTGTGCGAGGTTTCAAGTTTCTAGCTCTAATCCTGGCTTAAAAATAAAATCATTTCGTACTGCATTGCAGCTTGGGAGCGATCGCACCCACCAGGATGGCATTAGGGTTCCGTATGGGAGCGATCGCTCCCATGCCGCCGCGAACGTGTTAAATATACCTAAATTATAATCAATGCAGTATCATAGCAAACAGCTGATTGATTTATCACTTAACACAGAATATTGTCATTAGCTGGTAGACCATCTCAACAAATTGCACCACGTTTTTTGGCTTCAAATTTTTACATTACGGTACATGGGAAGACTATTCTGTGTAATAGTAGGTACCGGTATTTTGCAAATTGATTTTTAAAAAATCTTCAACAGTCTGTGAAGTTCATTGGAAGGCATAATTGTTAGTAGAAGTTAAGCTATTTATTTTCAAATTACGCTTCAACTTGGTTAAACAACATTGGTCTTAAACATGGGAGTAGGCTGTAGGGAGTTGTCAAGCGGTACGCATTGTATTGCCACTGCCACAGTGCTGGGTGCTGGTTCGGCGCTAGTGTTTGGAGTAGTGATACATAGCATAGTAGCGTGGAGTAGTTGCGTGGGCATGCCAATTTTATTTTTGAGTCACTGTTCAGTTACAACTCTAACCGATGCCCTCACCTCGCAAAACAAGAGTTATTAACCAACGTTTTAACGAGCCTACAACAACCTGCAGGCACAAGTTAAAATACACGTTGTGTTGAATGTTTAGAAAACAATGAGTTCATCTATTATAATTAGACAAAAAAAAAAGATTATCTCAATTTACCAAATTACCATGCGTGTTACTCATAACTTACGCTAACCATTGAAAACATTAAATAGTTTTTAATATATTTGACACATACAGTTATCCTGCTTAAAGAATAGATTATTTCACTGTCCCAGTCTGTCCCTCATATTTCTAAATCCCTTCCAATAACTTATGAACTTTCTAAAATGGCAGAAATTGCAATTTATACTGAACGCTACATGGGTTAAACAGCCAATACGCATGATTATCAGCGTTTTCTAAAATTAGATTTGATTTACTTCACTGTCTAATTTTTTGTTGTGTTTGTTCACACCGTTAGCATTTTTTACGATTTTTGCAAGTGGGAACTGTCCAAACCCTAGTCTTGTTACTTATAACGTCAACCTATTTGTTAGATAGCAATTATTGATAGCCCAATGACAAAGTGGCATCATGGTCCAGTAACGATCTCGCTTGGAATCGAACAATATTATCACAAGGCTACCTACCTAGACAATTACATTTCACATAACATACGCCTAGTCAATCATAATACTTTTAATTCAAATTGCGACCATAGGTAGATAGATAATTTAAGCTAAGTAGGCCTATGAATGGAGTTGAGTCTAGAATGAGTAGCACGATTTTCTTTAGTACTTAACTCAGAAGTAGAAATGCTGGAAAATAGACTACATTCTGGTAAGTTAATCATTTAAAAAATTAAAATACATAATAACAAAATTTTACAAAACTAATAAATCAAACACTTATATTCATTTAAAAGACCATTAAACATTTTGTAACTTCTTTTTTTTGAAATTTTAAAAGTTGTAGATACATTTTTTAAGCCGATTTAGTTCAACCTTTGTTTTTGATACTAGTAACTCCAAAGTTTTAAAGATATTGACCTGTAGGCCTAGGTAGATTCATTTACCAAAGCCCAACAATAGACTAAGTCAGGTGGTATGCAATGCTGGTGAGTTAAATGATGTGAGGCTCATCCAATTGACACTTCCTCATTGCATTGGAAAACCACAGTGGCCTATTGAAGGGTGCTTTTAGCTTGGACAGTGCAATCTGTCACAGTGTATCATCAGTAGGACCTTATCTAAGATAATGAGTAAAGTAAATCTGAAGACCTGCAGTTGCTTAAGTAAAGAAAAAACTCTTAGGGATCAGTGGGGAAAGTACCATTATTATTCCGTACATTTAAGATGTAGGCCTATTTATGACTGATTAATAAATATTTTGTGGTGTCACTCAATTCTCATGTCTTCAAACAAAGATCATTTAAATAAAATACCCCTGTCACAGCAAACCTCCAAACTAAGGGAATGTCCATTTGCCTGGTTGAATTTTTTACTAAAATATTCCTTTTGAATTGTCAGATTTATTTCCGATTTAATTCAATGAAATGAATAGGTTTGCTGCTACAGGGGAGGTAATAGAGTGTGCGTTTTTAATTGAATTGTTGATAGGCTTTCTTAGTTGGAAATAAATAAATGGTCCAAATTTGATAAAAATATATCCCTAAACAAGCAAACTCAGTTTATATTCTTCATAGAATAACACGGGCATTTTAAATTTAGGGTTTTTAAAAATATTTCCGTAATCTTTAGGCTAGGTGTAACAACAAAGCTTCAATGTAGCCTATACGGTAATAAATTATTTTTTAAGCTCAACTACAAAATAGGCTAGTATAGGAAGAATTTGAAAAATTTGTTGTCTTGGGGTCAAAAATGGAAATCCACATTTTACCCTGTTTACCTAGTCCATCATGCTTACAAATTTAACCCTCCCAGTGCTACTTGACGAAAATTCGACAAGCAGCACACTTTGTGTAGTGTTACTTGTCGATTTTTCGACACGCAGACATCGTTTACGGCGAAGGCTCTATGACTGACTGAATCGGATTGAACTGGATCGAGTTAGGTATCGTTCTTTCCGTAATATTCTAAGCTTTCTCCAGAGGTCTGTCTCTAAGCGCTATTCATTTTAGTTCCGAAAATATTGTAGCAGACAGCTGACGTGCGTGTATTTGTAAACAGCTAGGTTCCCCCGGACCGATGACTGATGTGTTTTATTACGTTTATCATTGTTTTAGTGTTAAAAATCAAAAGTAGTGATATACGTGGTGCATTATAAGAAGATTTAAGTGGTTTTGAAGTGCTGGTTGATGATCTGAAGAAGTAGGTAGTGATATTGATGTAAATTATCAGCCAGATTCCTAGCTATGGTTAGGCTATGCATTCTTAGCTAAACGCTATGTACTGAAATCAGTTTTTTGCCCATAACTTATTTATTTGCAAATATACTTCCTTATATTACTATATATTTGTAATCCTCATAAAATTTAGAACAAAGTGGCTATTTTAAAATATTTATAGGCCTATAATTTATACAATTTCATTGAGCGCGAACTTATTTTTTTTTTTGAAAATTTTTGAAATTATATTTTTTTTACCTAAAATTTTTTTTTTGAAAAAATGTTCCTTATGTTTTATATATAATATTGAAGCCCATGATTTTCCAAACAAAATGGTATATAGAACATTAGAATTAACATTGCTTTAAGCTTCTCAGATCCGTTTTAATAAAACCTTGCAAAAGCGCCAAAAATAGGTGGACATTAAGGCCTAAACTATGGACACTTGGAGGGTTAAGGTTCACAAATTTAATTAATTAAGTTATTGTAGGTTAACACGGTTGCTCAGAATTTAGTAAAAATCAGATGATTTTTAGTACACATTGAGTTTTCAAGCTAACAGACATTAAGTTAACATGAATTTAAATGGATGGGTGTATTGTCCTTTGAGACCTAAAAAAAAAAGGTCCTGGGGGTAGGTCTTCATCACGAGACCTACAATAATAGCTTACCCTTATATGGGGAATTTGCTAAAATACTTATTTTGATATTTTGGGATAGACATGTTACCTTAATAAATCATTGAATAAGACATAATATTTTGTTTGCTATTTAATATTCTACCAGTAACTATTTTTATACTTAGATTTATTATAGGCCTACTATTTTTTTTAAGGAAGTAGTAAGAGATGACTTTGCTTGCACAGAGACAGTTTTGTTTGAAGAATTTCTCTGTGATGTGTGGCAAATTACAATCAGCTGGTTTGTCTGCAGCTTGGCCTTGAGCCATTCAGTTCTGTTGACGTATGAAAATTATTCAACTAAATCTAATTGGGTCTTCTCAATTGTAAATAAGCAGTTTGTTTCTCTTGAAGTATGAATTTTTTTAAGAAGACTGTGAACTTAAGTGGTAATATCAACAATAAAAACATTCATTGTTAATGCTCAATTTAAAAGCCTATTGTTACAGAAAATATGACACTTTTTGCTAACCTGTTAGAGGTATCAAAATTGATTTAAAACTGAGCTTAAACTAGCTTACTTAAATTGAATAGAGCCATTTATAATATTATCACGATCAAAAGAAAGCAAACTGATATTTTAAAAAGCTAAAATAAGTTTTTCCATCTGGCTCAAGATTAGAAGTTTTATTTTGTTATTTTTTAAAGAGGTTGGCGGCCTCTTTTAACCTTGCATTTGCCCTTCCACAAAGACTAACTGCCCGTGCGTGGATCGTATGTACAGCAAAGCAAGGGGTGAGCCAATACAGTACGAAGGTGAACTGTACTGATAAAATTTTTACGGCAGTGACCAAGTCCGAACCCACGACATAGCTGCCTTGGGTCCGAAGTTCGTGATGCTACCGACTGAGCCACAGACTCACCACATGTAATGTAGTTACATGTAATTCACACTACAGATGCCTTTTAAAAATATCCCATTATAACTTTGCATATTATTAAAATGTTATTAATTATGGCATAAGCTACAAATTAAACTCAGTAAATAAATATCAAAATCAAACAATTAATTATTGAGTAAAAATTATAGAATAGCTCTTGCATTTATTGTGAGCGCTCAAATTCTGTTCCAGATAAAAACTCGGATGGGAAATGCCACTGCCAAAACGCTTGGTAGAGCCGGTGCATGTTGCACGCGGTACCATCCCGGAGGACTTTCCTCTGCCCTCGGAGCTTGAGGCTGCCACAAACGGCACTCTAGCCAACGCAGTACGCCAGCTGAGTAGCCTCAGTAAACATGCCGAGGACCTGTTTGGAGAATTGGCTCGAGACGCACAAGTAAGATAAAAGTTTTCAAATCATAGTTTGTCTAGAATATTTAGTTAGAAGTACAAATGGTACCATTTCAATTGACTTTTTCAATGAGCGATTGAAAATTTTTTTTAATATAAGACAGATTTATTTCTTAGTGATTGCTAATGAGAGCAAAAGTCCTAATCCTTACAAAGTCTCCAGGGGGTCATGAAATTAAAATTATTCCTCTTTCAGTAACGTTTAGTAAGTTAATTCGAAGGCTAGAGGGACATCCCAAAAACTGTTTGTTTCTTTTTACTTTTCATCAGCTCTTTGTTCAATCAGGTTGTCAACTTGATCAATACAAAAATAAATTAATCAGATCATTTATAGAGATTTTAAGAAATTTTCCCTACAAAAAAGAAAATCAAATTCTATTTCATAAGTTATGAAAAGCATAAAAAACTACAAGTAGATGTTAATTTTGCATGAAATGCCTCTATAAATATACGACAGTCCTGCTATTCTGAAAGCTGCTTTGGCTATTCCAAAATAAAGTTTGGAAATCATTGTTTTGAACTTCAGTGCGAAGCTAACATGAAATCTTGAACATCTACCGTGATCACAGAAAAATCGTAAACATCTTTCGTGTTCATGGCAAAATTGTAAAACATCTACTGTGGTCGTGGCAATATTTTCAACTGTGCATCTATTTGCATACGCTTTATGCGATTGCAAAAATAAAAGCTAGGTACACAGTCACAGTGAAATTGTTAAAATCTTCGGTTAAGGCTAATCGAGAAAATCGATAAAAATACATTCTCAACAAAATCAAGAATATCTTCTGGAGTTGCTGAGATATCATCATTGCCTATCATCATTCATCATAAAGATGATAACTTTTCAAGCTTATTCAGAAATCTGCTAATACGAACAGGGTTCAGTTTGAATTAGTTTGGAATCGCATGACTCTGTAGTAATGTTTACTGATAGAATTGGTCTTTGTTTGTCATAGGTGTTGGCGTGTCGTGCTAACTCTCTCCAAGCGAGAATCGACAGACTTGCCATCAAAGTAACACAACTAGATAGCAATGTGGAGGAAGGTTGGTCTTGATTAACATTCTGGAAACCTAATAAGGATGAGCTTATCTTCTATATAGTACTTGACTGGCAGACTTGTTCATTATCTGGGTCTATCTTCTGATTGTGAAAGCTTGAAACACTAAATGTCGGACATGCATACTTAAGATGTGTACAAGAACAACAAACAAAACTGGATTATGAGTCAAAACAAACATTAGCTGTTCTACAAACTGAGGTTTATCAAACTGTGTTGTGTTTGATAACTTGTAATAGATTAGGTCCTGCATGGAGAAAATCTAAAATGTTAAATTCAGCTCAATTAGGGAAGTAAATATTCAGTTAGACATCTTTGATGAAAGATGAAACAAATCATTATTTACATTTTTAGTCAAATACATAAAAGGAAATTATTTGTTGTTTAGATATAATGAAACATATTACTTTTTCTTCTTGAAGTTTAGCATCATGTTTTAAAATTAGCAGGGGTGATATTGGACTTGTGATATTTTGAAGGAATATACTCAATATTCAACCAAGTATCATTTCTTTCTTTGTGTTGTATAACCTGGTATGGTAAAAATGTTTGCGATGCTGTCGCAGTGATAAAAGATATGCACGGTATTGCAGTTATCTCTCAATTTCAGTACTGTCTGGCCAACTGTTTAAGTTTTTGATAATTTTGAAACTAGTATTTTTTCAAACCAAAAATTGAAAACTCTTTGTAGGCTAACTTAAATCAGTTCCACAAATCAAAACTTCCAAAGTTTGTTTCTGTAACCTCAACATGTATTTAATTAGGAAACATATTAACCATTATTGATTTTGTATTACTCACAAATATTGATAAATTATTGTTTTAAGCGCTTTGATACATTGTTATTAAAATTCTTTGAGAAGTTAAAACAATGATAACTGTGAGTGATGTGACAATAACTCATCAGATTTTTGCAATAACTCAACCATTGCTGCCATATGCACAAGTTGGAAAAATGGAACCTAACTTTGATTGAACAAGGAAATATAACGTAAATTTATCTTTGTTTTTGCAAACCTATCAAATATTTTACCAATTAATTTGTTAAAGAATGTCTACTATGCTTATGTACAATCTGTTTTGCAATATGGAAATCTGGCCTGGGGTGGAGGATACAAAAGTATACTTGCACCAATAGAAATTATTCAAAAAAGAATAATCAAGATTGCACTCCACAAACCTATTCGATATCCCTCTGAAACAGTTTTTGATGAGTTCAAAGTACTTAATATTTCCCAGCTATATACTAGATCTTTAATAATATATATTTTTAAGAATAAACAATATATTTTTTGCCAACCAACTCACAACTATCCAACTAGATTTTCAATTAATATTGGTATCCAATTGCCAAAAGTGAATAAATCGATAAATAAAACTTCTCCACAATACATTGCAAAAATAATGTTCTCAAAGTTACCTAATAGTTTAAAGTATCCCGAACCTTGCAGTTTGCAAACATATAAAAATCAAGTAGACAAATGGTTAGTGGAAACAGGCCGTGGCCAGATTGATTGTTATCTTGTGTCATTGTATTCGTAGTTTGCGTGTGCGTGTGCGTGTGCGTGTGTCGTCGATGATGTGGCTGTCTGTGTGAGTGGGAGAGTGAGTGAGTGAGTGAGTGAGAGAGTTGCATGAGAGAGAGAGAGAGAGAGAGAGTAGGCTCGCCGCTGGCCCACAGCCCCACAGGGACAGAGCAGTGACGGCCCTTTAGGGCTACCAGCCGCCTGTACAGGGCCTGTAGTAGTGAGTCGTTGCATGCGTTTGTGTGTGTGTGAGTGTGTGTTGTTTGTGCGTGAGTGTGGGTAGAAGATGTATGAATGGTTTCCAAGTCCCAGTGCTTTTCACAGTATTATTAAATACAGTACCCTTAAATACCCTTTTTTCTAGTTTTTTATCGTTTATTTATTATTATTAGATTTGTCTCTATCTTTACTTTTTTCAGATATTTCCATAATACTTTCGTTATCTGCTGTGGCTTCCTGGTAAAAATGTTTTTTTTCCTTTTTGGTAAATGTGTAATTAGTATTTAGAGTAACAATTATTATTAAAACGATGTTAGATTATAATATGGATAGTCTGATAATAACTCGTTCCCCACGCACAGGCTTCGCCTATGTGGGGAAATTCCATTAATATTAAGAATACTGTTTTGTAATTTTTTGTTTATCATGGAATAAATGATGTTTGATTTGATTTTGATTTTGATTTGATATTTGCCATAGGCTATTAATCCAAATGTCCTGGTTCTATACAACATTCAAGTTCAATTCATGGACATTTTTCTGTCATCAAAATTCATACGTACAATTCCCTTTTTACCTGGTTTGCTGGACACCTTTGGCTAGTATTTCATAACACATAACATTGTTTTTCATTGAAATATATAACATATTTTCCCCTACAAGATGTTTAGGATAAGATGGACATTCGGATGTGCGGAACTGTGTCCTTTGACTTACCTTACTTAAATCTCCTGTAGCTCCTTCCTAGGAGCATAGAGCGTCCAGAAGAGCTCGCCATCCAACCATATCTTGTGTCAGGTTCCTCAGCTGACCCCAAGTTCTTCCTATGCTCACTGTGTCCTTTACAACACTTTTATTCAGATTTTTGAGACGTTTATCAGCTGTCATTATAGGGCGAACATAAAATAATGTGTCATACTGCCAGTGTCTGAGAGTTTTGTTTGTTGCAGTGTCGTTGCAAGACATACACATGCGCAAAGCGTTCAAGAGCAGCGTAGTGTTTGACCAGCAGGTGGTGTCGAGAGATACAATGCCAACAGCCATGCTGGATACATACAGACACTGTGATAAGCCGCCTCCGCTAGACAAACTCAACTCATATAGGTGAGCAATAGTGAAAATTATAACACTGTATAAAATGCTGCATACGTATTTTTGTATGGACATTTTTAAATATTTGAGGACCTAATATTTATCAGAAGGTAAATCAGGTATCAGGTAAATCTAAGTCTTTTCCAAGTTAGCCCTGAAACTAGGTGAGTCAAGCTATCCTGGTAGTGGTAATGCTCCTAAAAAAAACCGGTCACTGATTATCTGGATATTTTCTGGACCCAAATGCCGTTTGTCATTTGGCTATCAAATAATGAGGGTACTTAACAAAAGTTCGACATTAGATAGTAACAAGACCTGTATTTGGACCATTCTCTTAAAAATATATATTAACAATTTCAATGGCATTGGAACACAACGCCATCTGACTCATTGTCTGATGTTATAGTCGAGTAACATGACTGACCCAAGAAGACCTATTCCCCCATTAGTTTTCAAATGTTGAACCTCATATACAAATTGTGGAAAACCAGTTTAACGAAGCCCACTCCAGGTAGGGTACGGCTTGCACCCTTATCACTGTTGGATCTTAGATTAAAGTTTTTTAGTGATGGATGGAAGTTAATCCGATCATATTAAAGAACGACGTGGGGAGTAGAATCTTACCATGTCACATATTTTAGTACAGGGTAAAGATACATAATAGAGTGAGCATTTAATTTTGTGGGCTTGGCTATGGTTTTGCCGTGTTAGATGTTACAAAGTAGGCCTATAACCTCCGTTGCTTATATTGTTATAACCTATTGTAGGGACGATGGAAAAGATGGGTTGAAGTTCTACACGGATCCAGGCTACTTCTTCGACTTGTGGCGACAAGAAATGCTTAAAGACACAGAAAGAATGATGCACGACAAAGGGAAGAGGGTAAGTTCACTTGTTGGATTAGATCAAGAGTGTTAAACATTTGTTTATTTGTGTTTGTGATGCCCGTTTTACTGTTTCAAGTTAAAGTTGTGCAAAAATATCCTCAGTTAACTTTTATAATCAATGCTGTTGGGCTCAAAACGAGGATGGTTGTAAGTTATGGTAGTATAATGTTTTGTAAGTCAACTATTACCGGATTTGATTTTAAATGATATTTTGGTTTATACCAAAAAACATCTGTTTATCCAATTAATCATTAATCACCTGAGGAAGGATAATTGTATCCATGGGCATGATGGTCTAAAGTTACACAAGATAACATAACATAACACAAGTCCATCCCAGTTGAGGATTTCAAAGAGCAATTTAGTCTTACTCTATACTAGCTGTCACCCACGGGCTTCACCCCGTTTGACATCATAAGTAAGTATTAATAAAACTATTGATTGGTTAAGTTAACCTGAAATACACAAAATAAAGTAAAAGAAACAAATAATCACACCTGATTTTAATAAGGTAATAAATTGAAAGTATAACAAACAGATAAGTACAGCTGAGGTATTTGGTTTATGGGGGTGTGACTTGTAGTTTTCTCAAAGGTTCATGGGTACTTTTGGCTTTATATATAGATAAATTGGAAAAAACTCCTTAACCAGCAATATGGACTTATTAAAAATATAACCTGTTGTAACAATAGACGTTTTCTGTGTAGCCCCATCGGCCGAGAAATGAAGGCGGCGGCGGACGACACAAGAAGCGAGTGCGACAACCTCACAACACGAGGGAGCGACAGAGACAGATCGTGGTTGGTCAAGGAGAGTACATCATGCCACAGCCTCAACCATCGCACTACCGCACACCTCAGGTACAACAGGTGAGCCAACTGTGGGAACGGAAAACTAAACACCAGAGAGAAGTAGTAAAAAACTAGGGGTGTGCGAGTATTCGAACATCGAGCTTTTTCGAGCCGAATAGGACGCTATTCGGCTCGGCTCGTGATTTTCAAAAAGTTCGAAATGTTCGAGCCGAATACTTATTGAACTAGCAAATAAAAATTAAATTAATAAATAAGGAACTAACTTTCATTTAAATTTACTCTCCTCCGTTTCATAATTGTGTCTTGATAAGCACGAACCTCAGCTCAGTCAAGACGCAATGATTATCGATCGTAATTTTGAGGAAACTACTACCTATCGCGTTGTCTTTCTAACACAACTATTCGTATCGTAATATACAACGCAGTGCGAGTGCGTGATTGGCTAAGTCGCTATGACAACACACGGTTGCCGTGACAACCTACAGTGCGCACTGAGCACTGCACCTAGTGTGGGAGGGGAGATTATACCAACAAACTATTTCAGGAATTCTATTTTGGGACGGATGAAAGATAAGGAAGAAACAAAAAGTGGTCACGTGTGCAAATGTAGTGGGCGAGACAATAAGGCTGTAAACGAGTGTCGTGTCGTTGTTCCTTGTTTGTTTACTTTTTCAGATTCCTTATCAAACGCCCCTATCTGCTATCTCTCTTTCTCCCTCTCTCTCTAACAATGTACTGATTAAACAGATTGTTGTTTGGTTGACGACTTTTCTACTTATAAGTTTCCCTGCAGTTATTTTAGTTCAATCAATCCCATTACCTTTCTAATGTTTATCAAAATAATTAATTAATATGTTTTGTATTTTATTTCCTTTAAACCTACCCCTATTTACCATCTGTATTTTATAGAATAAAATGTTTGTTTATAAAGTTTGACTGGCCACACAATGTTGTACCTATTTTATTTTGTATAAAGTAACAGTTACTTTGAGGATTATATATATATATATATATATCAATAAGTGGCGCGTGCTGTAATGAGTGCTTTTTATTATCAAAATAAGTCATGAGTTATTAATTTTTGATAGTACATGGGTCATTGAATACCATAATGTGATGTAGTTTCCTATTTGTATCTTGCAAATAATAATAATTGATAGTTAATTCTGGAAATGAAAAATAGTGATCGCATTCATAAACCTGTTGTCAAAACAGCAACGAGGGTGTAAGGGTTTATTGTTTCAGACGCAAGGGTGTTTCAAGGACAAAGTGTTGGGCCACCCGGATTGGGGGGGAGGGGGGCGGTGAGACTGTGTGAAGGGGAGGAAACTGGTTTTGGCTATTTATTGATTAGTTTGCCGACCCTTCTAGATAACAAAATTGAGTGACAGTGTTTAATCATCGTGTTCTGCATTTCATTTCTTGTTTACTTTGTGTGTTATTCTATTAATTCTAGTGCTTTGGTCTATTTCCTCTATATGTCAATTATATATTTTTTAATATATAAGTAAAACTTGTCTCTCCACCTTTTTGGATCCAAACCAACCATGTTCTTTTTTGATTAATAGGATTCATAAAACAAAAATATTTTGTGCATGGAAAACAACAAGAATAATCACGTGTTTTTAAATTTATTTTGTATTTATTTATACAAAATAGAATTAAATATTCATAGTAGTTACAATATACATATGTAATCGACTTGCTAGTTGTTTTGTCGTCTGTTATGAAAGACAATCTGATTATCTCAGTCTGCACTGCATATCTCTTCAGGCCTTCAATCGATATCCTTTTATTTCTTGCATCTTCATTTAGTTCAGTTCAGTTCTTATCGTGATTATCTACTATTTGATGTCTTGACAATTCTCAATGTTTTTAAACATATTAAAATAACATTGTGTTTATTTAAAAACTGACTGAACATTATTATTATTATGCACTTTTTTAAGAAAAAAAGTTTAAAAATTAAGATAAGGTTACGCTAGGAAAAGCTCGGCTCGAAAAAGCTCGAGCTCGAACATTTTTTAAAAAGCTCGGCTCGGCTCGGCTCGAGGTTGAAAATCACTATTCGCACACCCCTATAAAAAACATTCCAGTAGTGAGAAGTTATAGATGGTGTTAATTAGGATTGCAAGTGGGAGGGCCACACAGAGAGTCATACCTCTAGATTGTATTAAATTTAATTTAATTCAACGTAAATTAATTGTTGAGATGGTTGCACATACGCTTTCACCTCACTTATCTAATTGGCTTTATCTATCCTTAAGACTTCTCAACTTGTAAACTTCTACATTGTTTTATCATTATTATTTTTGAGCCTAAGATTTTTACCTAAGAGAGAATAGGTAATTTTTTAATAAGAGAATAGGTACCACCATTGTAGATTAATAAGGAGTTAGCTAGAAGATTTTTCACTCTAAAGTTTGTCTAAGTAATGTCTAATAGATGATAAAATAATATGCTCTTAAAATGGTTACTTGTTCTTTGGGTTAATGGCAGATTTTAGTATGTCTAATCTTAAGAATAAAACCAGGAGATTCTTTCAAGAAGGGTGTTAGCTGAAACCCCATTAACTAATTTGTCCTGGAAAACTGTGTAAATTTATCATCTATCGGAAATGTTATTATCAGCTGAGATGTATAAATCCATCATTCATTTAAGACTGAAGAGGTTCGCTATAGAGCTTCTATTTTATTAATACTACCCATTGTTGTAATCATTCTCATTGAAATTAATTCACATACTTAATATTGGATTACACTGATTTAAGCTTCTTACTCAAGTAAGTCACACTGATATAAGCACTTCACTAACTAAATACAAATTATTTGGTTACACTTGAGTTAAAAAAGTTATTGTTCTGTCACACTCGTTGCTGTGATTTCTTTTAGTTGTTACTGTATCAAATATTTTCCACAGTCAAGTATCTTATTAAAAGAAATATAAATAGTTTTTACTCACCCAACTATTCATCTTTAAACAGGATACAATTTATTAAAATTAAGTTTAATTAAGTACACATTTTAGTTATTCCGATTAATCTAAATCTACATAAATATTGCGTTGAAACCTGCTTAAAATAGCACTCTGATTAGGGCAAGGCAAGACTAGGTTGTGTTGCTTTATAGTTTATCAACTCTGTGTAGGTGATTTACATAACCTCGAGGTTAGATAATACCATACTGACTGAGATAATGTCTTGTAGGTATTATATGTCTGTGTCCGTGACAGTCCAACTCGCAAAACAGACGTTTAGTTGTTTGTTTGGTTTAAACTGGTGCAGTTTTTAGGTTACAATGATTGGATTTTTCTCTGAAGTTCTTATAAAATTGAATATTGTAAGTAGACTTTTCAAAGTTAATTTTGATCTGTATGATAAAGAGATAGCAGCTAGCTTACCTTAGAAGTACTGGCCATAGAACACATAGACTTATAAAACACACAATATTATATGTAGTTGCTAACCATATATAAAATTATGATTTAAATCATTACCAAGCTGTAGTAAAAAATAAACAATAAAAATATACAGGGTCTATAATTAATTGTTAGTTTATATTAAGTGGTTGAGAACCTGGAAATCAGTGTAACAATTCATTTGTGATAAGCTTTAGTTGTAAACTAAGTTTTAAAGAAGGAACAATATGCTTTTCATTATTTCGGTTCAACACAAGAATAACCTTTACCTGATTTCAGACTTGTATTTTTATGTGTGGTATATTTAAACCCAGCAAAACTATATCCTCTCCACTACCCACGCTGTTAGGCTGCAGCATTTTATACTACTTCATATGAAATGACACCTTTTTTAGAACTAATGATTCTTGTGTGGATAGTTGGTTTACCTGAATGGGAAAGAGTCACTCTAGGACGAGAAACACAACGCTTAACACCATACACTAAACATTACAATATTTAACTGTCATTGAGAGCTCAACTTGACACAACTCAGCTGGAGACATAACTTAATACTTCTTTTGTTATACTCAAATTTGTGTGTATAGTGTAAGGTTTGTGTCTGTGCCAGAGGGAACAACTTCCCATTCAAGTCTATCATCCTTATAACATTGCACAACTATGTTAGGCCTACTTGCTTTTATTGTTACTAGTTTGATAGAGACGTAGGAATTGGCTAACTCAGGAACTCGCTAACTCGGTCGTGTGGCGGAACTGGCTAACTCTGGAACTGGCTAACCGTCTCAGTCAGGAATTGGCTAACTCCGGAACCCGCTAACTCGATTTTGTCTCGTGGCGGAATTCGCTAACTCTGGAAGTCGCTAACCCGGCCGCGCCCACTGCTCGGAGCGTTGCCAACCTTGTACGACAAAATAATCGTACACTGCCGTATTTCAAAATGTCAGTGTCTATAAGATACAGTAAATGTCATTTTTTTTTGTTATCAATTCCACTTTTAACAGATAACTAGGCCAAAGTAATTAAAAGACGATTAAAAATTCATGAAAAAGTGTTTTTTATTAAACTGTACAATGGCCAGTTAAATGTTTATGATTTCGATCTTAAATATAAATGCCATCAGTATAAAAGAAAATAATAGAATATGAAAAATATTCAAAATTTAGTTTAATTGGTAATAAATAATTAAACCTCTACGAAAATAAGCTAAAATACACGCAAGTTCTTAAACACGGAAAACAGATTTAATTGTAATGTCGTAATAAACCAAAACCATTAATTAATACAGTCATCAACCATCGTAACTTTCATAATTAATTCATAGATTTTAAATTAAATGTTCGTCGTTGAACCGTACAACTTACGTTTACAAATATAACAATACAAATATAACTTAGACATAGACTAAGTTTTTATCTAGGCCTAATAGTTTGAACCAAAGCATTGTAGGCCTACTAGTAAATAGTTGCCTAATTCTAAAATGTGTTGAATTTTTTAGCAATAATGCTACATTTTTTAAAACAGTTTTTAGATTGTACACCTAAGCACCACTAGTAAAAAATAGGAGAAGATATATTCATATAATAAAACGTGACAGGGTTATTTTAATTCACGATTTTTAATAAACTAATTGACGGATTTTCCTGATTTGAGTGTTGGGTTTCCTTTATATTGCTTTCACAAGCCATTGCTCGGTTCACCGTTCCCCAGTACTGAGCTACACAATAGACAATAGCTTTGTTTTTGGGTAAGATAGAATCAGCCTGGAAAAAAAACTCCAGACTTTTAAAAAGTAAGCCTATTGAAAGACGTAAAATTAATATTAATTCAACAAAATTAAGAGGATGACCCGGGTTCTACACTAATAGCCTACGATAAAAGAAATTTACAAGTTGTATTTATGCATAGACTAACTTTTAATGCAATCCATGAATACATTAGGCCTACCACTTTATAATGTATTGATAAATATTTATTTAAATTCAATAGCTCTATTTAAAAATACATAACCACTACAATGTAATTCTGTAATGACGTTTAACGTGTAAATTTTATTATGATTTATGATTTAAGGTTACTACAAGCCCAGTATATAAAATACGAACTCAAAAATTTTATTTGCAGAAGTTCACAAAATGGTATTTATTCGAATAAAAGAAACAAATGGTGGACTACGAAAATAGATATTTCATAACATGTAATAGATCCAAATTAAATGTGCATTTTTATCTTTTTCGTACCAATAAGCTAAGTACTATTTAAGTAAGAAACCCACATATAAAACATACTCCCTTATATTAGTACAGTTCTCATCCTTATGGATGATCTGAAGACAGTTGTATTGTTAGTTCTGTCCGGTGCACTGTCTTTAGAGGTCGTGTTTTGTTTACAATTGTTTCTTGTTTTCAGTAATTTAAAACCTCGTTTAACCAAATAAAACGTTCTAATCACAACTAATAACACGTCCCCTAGTTATATAACCAAACAGTAAGGAACAAATCATGAAGTTAACTATAAAATAATAGAAACACAATTTTGTCGACACTAGCGATCAGTGTCACCGGACATGAACTAGACACGAAAAACGAGCTTCAAAGTTTACAATGGGATGTAAAGTTTACTTGTGTTGGTTAGTCTATGGTAAGACTATAATGCATTTTCCACCCTAATAATCATAAGAACTTCTCTGTGGTTAAACATACTTCTAAATATATTTATTTTATCGACTACGTTGCTCTTACTCCTAATTAATCGTAGGATACGACATTATGGTGCCGATACGATATAGGTACTACACTTTTGGCAACACTGGTCAAAAATATTCGTGCTTGGCTCCCATTGGACGGCCCGCGAGGCTTCTGATTGGGAGTTAGCGAGTTCCGCCGAGGGACCGAGTTAGCGACTTCCGTACTAGGACGGAATTCGCTAACCCGGCTCTAGAGCGGGTTAGCGGGTTCCGGAGTTAGCCAATTCCGAAACCGAACAAGTTAGCGAGTTCCTCTCATCGACCAAATTTGAAGATAGGGCATTTAACATGGGGTTAGCGAGTTCCAGAGTTAGCCAATTCCGCGGACCCGTTTGATAGGTTTGATCAACTTTTTGTGATGATAAGATTTACAGACCTAGGTCAACGCTATAAATGAGTGATTCTTATTTGTCTGTTTAGCAGAACTACCATCAGATGATGCCAGACGAGGCTCTGATGATGATGGGAGACGGCCGACCACCGAGGCCCAATAGTATAGAGTTACGACGCAGCTATCCCCAGGAACAGGTGGACTCTGTGTACAGTCCCCATCCTCACCCTGGCGCACACAACCCTCCGGATATATACAGGTACATAAATAAGCTATCCCGTCTTTAACCAATTCGGGGGTTAAAGTTCAATTTCACTTAAAGAGTACTAGTTGACTTTACTTAGGCTATTACCTTTGATTATCAATAAAACTAGACATTCCATCCCCATGTTAAATTTGTAGCCAGTTTTGTTATGAAAATCATCGTAGTTGATGTCAGCCACCTACATATTGCGCTGATCTAAATTACTAAATTCTGCGGAATACACAATCTTTTTTACCAAGTCAAACTTAGGGAATGACTTATGATGAGTTATAGAAACTGTTATGACCCATTAACCTGGTCATCAACAAAAAATAAATAATAAAATAGAATTTTAGACACTAGCGCATTCTGTCAAGTGCGGTTGCGTGATGGCTGGTCTCGGCCGGTGGCTGCGTGGTTAAGTGAGTGAAAACATTTAAATTAGTTTCATCCAAATGAGAGGCATATTGTACCATGTGCTGCGTTCCAGTTGTTGTAGACATAGTTTTACAAGAACAAGAACCCAATGAATAGATAGCAGCACTAAAAAAAATGCTAACAGGCTCTCAATGGCCAAATGGAGGGTAAGAGCAGGGACAACGAATCAAGATACGCCATAAAAAATACCCCAAAAAAGGCGTCAAGCACAATTTTGAGGTTAGGTTCCTTCCACAATGTTCCACTTCAGTAATTATCGTTATTATATTCTTTTTCACTAAATCCAAGACCCCACACTACACTAAATTTGGAACAACCCCCACCACTGATAAAATTGTTGGATCTGAGAACGAATTATACCGGATTGAAGTATAAAACTGACACAAGTGGCAAGCGAAACAACGTTCCCCGTGCAAGGCTAAGCTCACACTGGATCAATAGTTAAGAGTTAGGAATGCTACGTAGTTTAACGTAGTCCGCCGCACGCGCCAATCCTGCACTACGTTTTAAAATTGTAGGCCGCGCTCAACAAGTTAATTAAAAAAATACTTTATAGTAGTCTTGATTTTTCGACTGAAGCTGGAATCCGCAAGGTTGTTGATTAAGTGAAAAGACTGCTTTGTCTTAACTAACACATGGAATTATTTATAACCAAATTTTATTTATGATTTTTAAAATGGTTATTAGTCTCTCATTTGTTGAATATTTTACTAGTCAAAAGTTTAGGTTTTTAATTTAATTTTCCATCTTGGTAAATGTAGTTTTTATAGGAAAACCCAAATTAACTCTTGATAATTTTCATTCATCGACTATTGTTGCCATAACGATATGGTGCAGCAAATTAAGTAATCAGTGTTGATGAGCAATAGGAAATTAGTGATATGATAAACGATAAACTTGTCAACTAACATGCTACAATCATACTGTGTGATAAAATGTATTATTAATAAATGTATAATGTAATTTTGAATCTTAATAATTTGCAAGAGGGTTAACACTACAGTATTTATGGTTTTTTACTATCTTTTAAGTATTTTGTTAAAATATAGGCTAAGATCAAAATTTTTAGTTTGAAGAATAGGCTCATGGGTGGACTTTTAGAGGGTTTTAAAACTATTTTTTTAACTTATAAAAAATTTTAAAGTTATATTTAGCTTGCCTCTGCCTATTTGATATAATCTCTTGTGAAGACTGACCGTGAAAGTTGGTGGGTGCAGTTGCATGAGTGTTGTAAAGTGCCACACACAAAGCATAACCTCTGTTGTGTTTCAGGGAGAACTATATAATGGGCAACGAAGAGAATGTTTGTGGACAGTACACCGGGGGCATCAGCAGTCACTACGCCCCAGGATCTATCCAGGAGTACACAAGTCCCACGGGAACTCCCAGTAGAGGGTCCAGAGCGACCTCACAACGGCCGTCTGTGCCACCTCCTGCTCCTCCCAGCAATACTAACTCACAGACCAGGTACAAGTCAAGGATACAGCGATTGCTAATTTGTTACAATATTTCCTGAATCACTTAAAATGTACTTTGAACCTAGGTTGTCATAAGTGTAGTGTCGGGAACGGTTCCTGAGCGAAATAGATTAAATTTGTATTAGTAACTCTTTAAAAGTATGTTGGAAAAGTTGATAATTGTTTGTACAACATAGTTATTTAGCTGTTTTGTATTAATTGTTGGCTTACTACAAATAGCTATTTTGGGATTTGTTGATATGTTTGTGATTGCAATTTAAGAATTACGAGGTACTTACAAATATGGGAAAGTTTGTTGTTTCTCTGTACTGGTGCTTTTCCTCTAGAATCAATCTTAAACCGAGAATCAACATCGCCACTTATAAACCAGCCAGTCAGCCAGTGACAATCTTCAATTGTAGAGGATGTAGGTTAAAGTAGGTTGGTTTCTAATATGAAATTTGATGTATTTTCATTTCTTTCAGCACACCCACAATTTCGTCAACGACCAACACCCCGACTCGTGGCAGGAGTATGAGCACTGGACGAGAGACGCTTCCACCGCCGCCGCCTCCACCGGTGGACACCCCCACCACTAGTCCTCCCATCCAGACAACCTCCCCACGAACCTCCCTTACTCCGGAGCCACTCCCACCTCCCCCACCATTGCCAGACTTGCCACCGCCACCTTGTAACATTCCTCCCCCTCCACCCCCACCGCCACCCATGCCAGTCCCCAACGGACCCACCTCACCTTCACCCTTGATCAACGGGGACATCGGCAAGTCTCCTGTCAAACAGGTAACATAACCTAAAATAGCATAAATACTCATTCAAATCTAGTAAATGGTATTAAAAGCCCCTCAGACTATTTTAAGCTTCTTTGAGGTACCTTTGAGTATTGATAAAATTATATATAATCATTCCCTTGTTAGAGTTATAGCCAGTTTTAAAATACAAACCTTGTTGAATTAATCCACACCGATAAAGTGTGCTGATGATGTCAGCTACCAATTTTTTTCAAATCTTTAACCAATCAAAATCTAAAGGACAAAACTTGCTGTAAACAGTAGCATCTTTTATCTCATATCCTTTTATCAAACTATCAAAAATTTTAGTAGGTAATAGAAATTTGATAGCAACATACTCTTTGAGGGGTTCATTCAACTTTGTTCTATTTGAAAACATTGGCTTAATCTGGTAAGTATAGATGAGATGGGTGCTTCAGCATCGAAAAGTCAATGATACACATATACATGTAGAATGACATTTACAGTAGACTCCCTCTTATCCAGACTCCTCGGGACCAGTCCGGATAACTGGTTTTCCGGTTAAACCAACGTCCCCAACAACTCGTTAAAACGGACCGTTTAAATCCATACTGTATACAGTATTTGACTTCAGTTTAGGAGAGCATTGTATTTAGACACGTGATCACTGGTCTCAAATCTTTCCCTTGAGAAAAGTTGTTTCAGTATCGCCCACTTCCTGCCGATCTAGTCCAGTTAAACCGATTTCCTGATAAAAAATTTCCGGTTAAAGAGATGTAATTTCTGCTGGGTGTAGTCCGGTTAAACCGATGACCGGATAAGAGGGAGTCTACTGTAAGTCTAATTGGTTTTGATCTTCTTGTATTATTCACCAGGATTAATTATCTAAGTTATTTTATCAGGATTAATTATCTAAGTTATTTTATTTTTTAATATGTTAGTTTATTTTGCATTTATTTGAATTAGAGGGCTGCAGTAGCTAAAGGGGTTTTGTACTTCTTGTGTAACTTATGTGGTTAGTTTTGAATCGTGTGATGTCTGTGCAGATAATCTCGATGTCGCCTCCCAGCAAGGTGTCCACCTCTCCGCCCAAGCCGGTCGGAGACGTCAACATGAACTCTACGGCCATCAGACCCAAGGGTGTGACAGCTCCTCCTCAGTACGACCCTCGCTGCGACCTGCTCAAGGCTATCCGCGATGGTATGTAATCATCATAGGTACCTTTACAAATAGCCTGCTATACTTCGTTCACGATATTTAGGTGGTTTTAGGAGAATAAATCTATCCTCTCCACTTGACCCTTACCGTTAAAATAATAGCTCAACAGCTGATTAAGCAACATACATCAAGTACGAGAAAGCGGCGGGGGAACTTCCTCTCAAACAGCCTAAATGTTGTGAACGAAGTATAGTGTGATGATACCTGAGATTGGATGGCTATGAAATTCTACAGTAGGTGTCTAGTAAAACATAGAATTTCCTTGAAGAGTGTCGGAAAAAAACCTACACACCTACACACTAGGGGTGTGCGAGTACTCGAATCTTCGAGCTTTTTGGTCGAGCTTTTCATTATTCGGCTCGGCTCGAGGCATTTTGAAAAAGCTCGAAGTTCGAGCCGAGCTTTTAATACTAAGTCAAAACTAAAAAAACACTTAATTTTGGGTCGTAATTGAAAACAATGTTATCACAATTCTACGTTGTTCATGCATTCGAGGTTTGATAAGCACGAACACGAACCTCAGCTCAGTCAAGACGCAATGATTATCGATCGTAATTTTGAGGAGATACAGTAGTAAAGAGACAATCTACCACCTATCCTATCGCGTTGTCTTTCTAACACAGCTATTCGTATCGTAATACACAACGCAGTGCGAGTGCGTGATTGGCTCGTCGCTATGACGACACATGGTTGCCGTGGCAACCTACAGTGCGCACTGAGCACTGCGCCTTGTGTGGGAGGGGAGATTATACCAACAAACTATTTCAGGAATTCTATTTTGGGACCGATGGAAGATAAGGAAGAAACTAAAAGTGGTCACGTGTGCAAATGTAGTGGGCGACACAATAAGGCTGTAAACGAGTATCGTCATGCCGTTGTTCCTTGTTTGTTTACTTTTTCAGATTCCTTATCAAACGCCCCTATCTGCTATCTCTCTTTCTCTCTCTCTCTCTCTCTCTCTAACAGTGTACTGATTAAACAGATTGTGGTTGACGACTTTTCTACTTATAAGATTCCCTGCGGTTATTTTAGTTCAATCAAACCCATAACCTTTCTAATGTTTATCAAAATAATTAATTAATCTGTTTTGTATTTTATTCCCTTTAAACCAACCCCTATTTACCATCTATATTTTATAGAATAAAATGTTTGTTTATAAAGTTTGACTGGTCACACAATTTTGTACCTATTTTATTTTGTTTAAAAGTAGGGGTGTACGGATATCTGAAAAATCGGGTAACCGGGCCCAAATTCGATATCCGACACTATCCGTTATATATCCGGCTTTTCGGATAGACAATATATTTTGACGTTTTGGACAAAAAACTAAATCTCCATAGTCACCATTAGTTTCCCAGGACAAAATTACAGTAATACGTTTCCAACGACCTAACAGCAAACGGAAACGGCAAAGAAGCCTTGTATGATGCAATACTGATAACTAGTTTAGTCGTTATCGGCTGTTTTGCTTTACGATTAGATTCGTCTGGAACGAACAGACATAAAGCAGAAAAGAACTACCATGGTCAAATGAAAGTCAACTCGTGCTTGTCTCCCTCCTGATACTAGGGGCGCTGCGTAATAGTTTTTTTACAGTACTGTTTCAAATTCAAAGTAGAAAAATCTAGCCTACTACTGTGAAGTTACGTAAACAATAGATTTAATGTTTCCCAAAAAAAGTCAGAATAGAAACAATAGAAAGGCAACACAATAGAAGGGTGGGAGGGGTTGGGCAATGACCTTGAAAGGAGCGCGGGTATAGTGAGTCAAGTAGGACCGGAGGGGGAAGGGGTGGGTAAGACCTTGAAGCTATATATAGACTTGCACTACTTCCCTAAACCTAAAGGACTGGCCGGCGAGTGGTATTCCAATCACAGGACAAGATACGTTGTGTTTTAGGTATTCATTGCCCGGGTTGACATTGGATTGTCTTACTGTGTAGAAACTTTGAATAATAAAAAATAAAGTTAGAACTAACCACGATTATTTAGCATTGATTGTGTACATATTAAATGATTAAACTATAGGGACCATGGATATATACAAACTTTTGTCGTGATTTTAATTTCAACATCAAAATACAATATTGCACAATCGTGATATTTTAGGTCATCGACCTTTATTATGCATCCGGTATTGCTGTTTCGGAAGAGAAGCACGTTGATAAATTATAAATTGGTATTCCCGTAGTTAAAAAGAATTATTTTATAAATCTATAAAACAAAATCATAAAATCTTACATACAGATAACAATAACGGAAATTGTAAAAAAGGTATAAAGATAACACGTTATTCTTTCTCTTTGTTCTTCTATTTCTTGGGTTTCCCTTCATCACGCATTCAACAAGTTGCCATGGTTACTAATCACCCATGTCGTTATCAGCTTTTGTGACATAACGCACATCGTTGCGCACAGCAGGGGGGTAAAACTTGACGAAAATCGGTTAATTTTTACCTATTATTTAATTACCAATGAATGTACTACTTTATTGGTATTTGGTACTGTATTAATAATCGGTCAAAATGGCCGATTTTTGTCAAATTTTACACCAAATTTATTGAAATTTCAAGGTGAATATTGTTTTATTAAACAATTATTACCAAATATTTGTATTAATTTAAAAGATTGATTTGTGGTATTGGGTTCCCCACTGAGTGCAGCCGAGCGGCACTAATGAGGGTCGGACCTTCTTGGGGGTGAACAATAGACGGCTTATCAGACCCTCCCCTCCCCCGTGGTCTGGAGAAAGCTTGTAAACAAACTATTGCACAAGCGACTTGACATTTGGCTGCTTCAACTATAATTTTGTCAAATGAACTGAGATGTTTCAAAATCTAAAACAATAATTTGGGACCATACTGCTTAACAATAATGGACTGCAATTATTGTTAAACATACAATCCATTTTTAACAAACTAAGATTATACGATTCAAATAGAATTATAAAAATTATCTTGGTATTATACTTGGGGTAATGAAGTTAAGTAGGCTAGTGTAATTCTCAGTTCATCAAGGTTCTACTGAATAATGTTTGGCAGTGAATAAGTGTAGAATGCAATTTATAAATTCAGGGATACACACCTTTTACACTTACACAGTTATAAAGTCGTTAATTAATAGAAATAGTTAATTCTGGAAAATTAAAAATAGTGATCGCATTCATAAACCTGTTGTCAAAACAGCAACACGGGTGTAAGGGTTTATTGTTTTAGATGCAAGGGTGTTTCAAGGACAAAGTACAGTGTTGGGCCTCCCGGCTTAGGGGGGGAGGGGGGCGGTGAGACTGTGTGAAGGGGAGGAAACTGGTTTTGGCTATTTATTGATTAGTTCCCTGACCCTTCTAGATAACAAAATTGAGTGACAGTATTAAATCATCGTGTACTTTATTTCATTTCTTGTTTACTTTGTGTGTTATTCTATTAATTTTAGTGTTTTGGTCTATTTCCTCTATGTCAATTATATCTTTTTTAATATATAAGTTTACTTTTTACTTGCCTCTCCACCTTTTTGGATCCAAACCAACCATGTTCTTTTTTTGATTAATACGATTCATAAAACAAAAATATTTTGTGCATGGAAAACAAAAAGAATAATCACGTGTTTTAAAATTTATTTTGTATTTATTTATACAAAATAGAATTAAATATTCATAGTAGGCCTAGTTACAATATACATTATGTAATCGAGTTGCTAGTTGTTTTGTCGTCATTCAATGTCGCGATGCTGTTCTGTTCAAGAATCAAGAAGAATCAAGAATATTTATTTGCCATTAAATAATAGAACGTTACTGTTATGAAAGACAATCTGATTGTCTCAGTCTGCACTGCATATCTCGTCAGGCCTTCAATCGATATCCTTTTATTTCTTGCATCTTAATTTAGTTCAGTTCAGTTCTTATCGTGATTATCTACTATTTGATGTCTTGACAATTCTCAACGTTTTTAAACATATTAAAATAACATTGTGTTTATTTAAAAATTGACAGAACATTATTATTATTATGCACTTTTTTAAGAAAAAAAAAAGTTTAATAACTTAGATAAGGTGACGCTAGGAAAAGCTCGGCTCGAAAAAGCTCGAGCTCGAAAATTTTTTAAAAAGCTCGGCTCGGCTCGGCTTGAGGTTGAAAATCACTATTCGCACACCCCTACTACACACCCTGACATCCTGGGAAATCCTTAAATGGCTCTCTGTCCTGAAATTTTTTCTTATGGTTCAATGTTTTAATTTTTACTGGAATGTTGTTTAAATACTTTATTTCACTTTTTTTGTCACAGAATGTTGACACTTAAAACTTTTGATTAATTGAGGATACTGCAGTTCATAACTGCTTACATTATGCTTATGGTTTATTGGGTTTATTAGTATAACTGTGTTAGTTTGTTCATACACCATTGTAGGTCTATCTAAAACAAATCTTTGTAAAAAATTGTATTGCAAATATATGATGGGTAATATGTTGTTTCAGTAATGGTTTGTTTAGGCCAACTTACGATTTGTATTATCTTTCTAAACACAACAATTTATCTAAAAATTACACTCCATTTTAAAACCCTTCTGAAACATTTAATTTAACAGACAAGAATACTTGCAAGGTGCAAGAATGCTAATCGTGATATTTTGTTTTAGGCATAAAACTGCGCAAAGTAGAGAAAAACGAGCAGAAGGAAGGTGAACGCACAAATGCCCTGCACGACGTGGCGTCCATCTTGGCGCGACGAGTGGCCGTGGAGTTTTCTGACTCAGACTCGGCTAGTGAAAGTGAATATGATAGTGAGGGGTGGGGAGAACAGGAGACGAGCGCCTAGAAGTCGCTTAAGGTGCGACGTTAAAATCGCACCATCCATACTTCTCATCCTTTATTCCTCAATGTTTGTCCCTTGGAGGGATTACAGTAGTTGTAACACACACGACAGTCTACAACTGCTACGCATTATGCTGAGAACCAATCAACTTAGAGGGTGTACTACGATTCATTTGAAATTATCAAATGCTCTCCTAAACTAGGCAATTGAACATTAAAACTATATAAAGAATGTAGGAAATCTGCAAATCACCCAATGTCAAGAGTATTTTTAGATTTTGTTCTATCTGCTAATTATTTTCCATGTTACCGACTCGTAAAAGGGAATTTAGTGTGTATTGCGGGCTTAAATTAGCCTTCATCTTATCATGAAGTTTAATGTACGAGAATCCTACATTGGAATCGGCATTTGTCAGAAATGTCATACAGTAACTAAGAACCAATTGAAATGCAAAAGATTTTCCTGTAAGGTTTTTGAAACTCCTGCAATTTAAAATTATTTGGCTTTACATATTAACTTTTAAAGTTGTATTTGACTAGGAAGGAATCAACTACGCACTCCCAGTTTGTTACTGTTGTACGAATCTAATGTAAACACATTCTGTGCAATATCACAACTGTTTCGATAGATTCTTAGTAACATCATTCTTCAAAGTCTTAAAGTTTTAGTGAGGCTGTTGTCTGATAATTTGCTGTTTTACATTTTGAAAATTGTGTTTGCTAATGTCTTTTGAGTTGCACCTTATTTGTTCCCTTTTTGTCTTTTTCTGTGCATTGCACCCTCTTAGACGTTGGGCTTGGTTTTATTGAAGATTTAAAAAAATCAATAAAACAAGATCAAAGTTTGTTGGTACCATATAATTGCTTAAAGAAATTATATTTTTCTTATCATGAAAACGTTTTAAAAATATTTTCTAAAATAAATGGTGATTGAAATAGTTTTGAAGGAATAAAATTGGTCTGTTTCACATTCTAATTATGGTGCTTTTATGGTATGTTAAAATTTGTTCATTTGAGTTATGTTTTACTCTAAGGTTTGTTACAATAATTTAATTTAATCGTTATTTTAAAATATTCAATGTTTGCTGTACGCACAAGTCTTAAGTTTTGTTATGATGATGAAGTTTCACTAATAATCTAGGTATTTAAATGTTGGGCCACAATTTCGGTGAAGTTGGTAAAGTCAATTATGTAAGGGTTCTTAAAAGATATAGGAAAAAGATTATTATTTGAGCAAAAAATTCCTATTAAATCAAATGAACTGACTCTTTTTGAACATAAATTAAATTTGGATAACTATTGTAAAAGATTTGAGTTTGGTACTGAATATAAGAGATTTTATTTATACATAACATATTGAATAAATATTTGTTGTCGTATTATGACGATCTAAATTTATCCATTTGAATATTATTTAATTTGTAAATTATATTTAAAACAATCTCCCACCATTATATTGAGAAGTTCAAATACACTAACAAAATTATTTAAAGTTCTTTTGTAGGTAAGATCTGAAAGTTTTTGTGTCGCGATATGTCATAATTTAAAATAAGAATTTAAGATAAGATAAAAATATTTAGAATTAAGGTATTTGTGTACAGTAAAAATTCAATTTATTTATTTACGGTTGTTGAAAATATTTTACAATGTGAGTTTTATTAGTATTACAAATCAGGTTTTACGCTGAAAATCTTTTTGAGGCCGAATCTTATCCATCGACAGTTTAGTCATGTAGCGTCTAGTTGTTTTTTAGTGAAATGCTCAAACTATTTCTTAACATTCCTCTTTAAGCAGTCCATTTAATCCCATTTCTAATATTAATTTCACAATCTCTATTATACATAGATGTGTGGTTAACTTGGTAATACGCCAGTACTTCTCAAATTTCCTTTTCTGTTTTAAAGTAACACTGTACTATTCTGCGCTATTTCTAATGGAGATTAATATATTATAATGTATTAGGATATGTAGTAGTTATACATTACTTGACCGATATTTAATATAAAGCTTTACTACTGACCTTTTACTATAGTTATTTATTCATACAATATTTTGAATATATTTCATATAAAAGGACATTTGCGATCGTTCACACCTTACGATGCAACATGTCCGCGGAGTTTTGCCACTCCCGAGTAAATATTATCTGTGTAAGGTGTAGATTAGATAGTGTAATAAATAATTATATGTATATATTTATTCTAGTAAAAAGAACAACATAACAAGACATAATATGAAAACTGACTAAGGTTGAATGAATAAAAACACTCACGGTTTCGGAGTCAAACGACAATTGATTGTTTTTAGTTACCAGTCAAAGTTATGTTGTTCTTTAAAAAATTATTTGTAAAAAATTAGCTTAGAATAAAACATCCTAAACACGTACCTTTCTTATAACTCATAGATTTGTCTTATGAATGTCCGTTTAATTAGATATCTGGGAAAGGTTATTGTTTTTATTTTAATACAATATTCAAAGAGTTTTTAAGAGTGTTTGTTACTAATATAATTCCAGTGTCATTAATATGTGATGTTTTAAACACTATAGAATTGTAATAGGAATTTTTACTCAAAATTTTTAAACTTTCTTTTAATTCATCAGTAAATTATTTTTTTAATTCTGAAGCACAGTAAAGCATTGCAGTAAGTATTGTATTTGCATTGTTTTAAATCGTCAATTAGTTAATGGTATAGTTTAATATAATGTGAAAATGTAAGCAGCAATAGTTCTAGTTTTTACTATCCATTGTAAACATAATCTTCTATCATCCATAATCTTACTATGTTAGTTGAGGATTGTTTTGAATAACTATTATGAAAGTTGGGAATATTTTCAAAGAACACTTAATGTTCGCTTCTGGTATTGTTATTTTTCTAATGGTTTTACTGTGTTTTAGTGCTTTAGTGCTGTTTATAATTGAATATCTCCCTCGAAAAATGTTGTAAACGACATATTTTGTGACCTTGAGATTTTGAAAGAACAACATGCAAATTACATTCTCTTTGTGGGACATTTGGTTTTGAAAAATACGTAGGTTGGCAGCACTACAAACTGAATGCGCGGGAAACTGGCAGTCGTGGCATTGGTGCGACCAGAACATTGATATTCACTTTTGTCACTTGCAATGTTTTTTCTGAGGAAATATTCAATTACAATTAATCAACCATTGGTGTTTTCTAGAAAATTACTCTTGAATATTACATTTTTTCCAATTCGACAAAATACAATCCAAACCACTCTTTGCTCCTCTGTATAAATCAATATAACCTTTGTACATAGCTGATAGAACTATTTTACTAAATATCAAGTCTTGTTGTAGTCATAGTTCTACCTGCAATAAATGACATGGTTGCAGTTGTATATAGGTGTACAATATTTGTAGAAAAGAGTTTTGTATCAAGTGTAACGCTTTCTATATACAAAATGTGCTTGATTTTACCAAAGCTACAGATTAATATTGTTTGGAAATTACCATATGTACAGATAGCGCTACAGTCACAGTTGAATCTCCGAGTCTAGTGGATGTGTCGGGTTTGGTTTGGCAAATGTGGTTTTTAAATGTCTATGGAATCACACTTTCGCATTCTGGTATGTGTAATCGTATTTATTTTCAACAAAACTGAGCTTTCAAAGCTAAATTATTTTTGGGGATATAGTACTCATCCACTATTACTTATTATATCTTATAAATTTATAAAGAAATAAATGTTGATTATGCATAGATAATGGTGTAGTTTATTTTTCCTGATTGTTCTTTTTCCGTTGGCTATAGCTGTATTTAAAACTAACTTTTCCAAGAGCTCTGAATTTGATTTTCAGCAGGTTTCCATAATGTTCTATAACAAGAACATCTCATCATCTTGTTCAATAACAAGTCCGTTCTCTATTGTGAGGTATTTTAAGTTGTAAGTGAAAGGAATATTGTAAAAATGGTGCATCACCTCTATTCAACATCACATTGAAACTAAAAACAATAAAATCCTTCAATCATTGACTTGGTTAAAAAATGCAACAAAAAAATTGAGCAGAGTGAAAGAGATATTAGGATTATGTTTAAGTTGCAGCAGAATGAGTCAGCCAATAATCATGTTAAATACCCCCGCCGCAGCAAACCTGCGGACTTAGAGAATTTCCATTTGCCTGATTGGATTTAAACTAAAATGTCTCCTTAAATAAAATATGTATGTTGAAATTTAGCTTGTGATCTTTATTTTAAGACCTATTAATGGATTGTTCAAGCAAAAAATACTCATAAATTAAAATACCCTCACCGCAGCAAACCTGCACACTAAGCGAATTTCCATTTGCCTGATTGAATTTACGCTAAAATATCACATTACAATTATCACATTTATTCCCTATTTAAACAGAATTAGTTTAATGAGTACTCAAGTTTGCTGCAACAGGGAGGGTAAAAAAGTTTTTTTTAAATGTAAAATGTTAAAAGGTACTGTGGTTTAGTAAGAAATTAATGTATTTTCCAAATTTGATCAAAATATGTTCATAAACAAGCAAACTACAACAGTTGAATTATCTATACTATTATAAAATACCCCCGCCGCAGCAAACCTGACGCCTAAGCGAATTTCCATTTGGCTGAATTGATTTTCAATTGATCTATTTAAATAACATTAGGTTTAACGAGTACCTAGGTTTGCTGCTACAAGGAAACTAATAAAGTGTGTGTTTTAAGTAAAATAATTATTGCTTAGTATAAAATGAATATATTTGCCAAGTTTGATCAAAAGATATCCATAAACAAGCAAACTACAACATTTTACAATATTCTCCATAAGAATAACATGGGAATTTTAAATTTACCATTTTTTTAGATTTCTCCGTAACCAATAACTGTAAAAAAACACTTTGATTGATATACTGAATTGTTTGTTTTTTTAAGCTCTTTAAGAAGGTTTAGAGAAAAATTGGGAAATTTTGTGTTTTGAGGGTCAAAAGTGAGAAAAACCAATTTTTACCCCATAAAACCCTGTTCCCATGGTCCGATCATGCTGGATCGCGAACTCATTCAAGTTTATCCTGCCTTACACCTTCAAACCAAATTTCATCAAAATCGGATAAAAATTACTCAAGTTATCGTGTTCACGGACACACATATATATATATACATATATAAAAATTTGAACGAGTGGTGTTTTTGGCCTCTGGGGACATCAAAATGAAAAAGTAAATCGGTCCCGGGCCTAAGTCTTACCATGAGACCTACGGTAATAGCTACTTCCCTATAGGGAAATTCGCTAAAAGAGGTGGTTGCTGTATGTATGGGAAAAGTAAACGCGAAAAATACTGGTCGGATCGGGCTGAAATTCGGCATGATGATAGCTCACATTCCCGATTAACATATAGGCATATTTTTATCCCAAAAATCCTTTCGGGCTCCGCCCCAGTGGCTCTGGAGTTTCCCATGTTAACCTTATGAGAAATGAAATTATTGAATATTAACAGCTGTTTCAATTAAACAAGTTGGTTCTGTTCTGTGATGTTCAATAGCATTAAAGTTACAAGGATTACCAACAGGGTGCACAACTAGCACTATTATTTCTTTTACATTTATGACAACAGCTAATTTGCAACCAAAAGGTGAGTGAGCGTAGCGAACGAACTTCAACCTGGAGGCGAGTGAGCGTAGCGAACGAGCTAACCTGAAGGCAAGTGAGCGTAGCGAACGAGCTAACCTGAAGGCAAGTGAGCGTAGCGAACGAGCTAACCTGAAGGAAAGTGAGCGCAGCGAACGAGCTCCAACCTAAAGGTGAGTGAGCGTAGCGAACGAACTTCAACCAGGACGTGATTGAGCCATGCAAACGAGATCATCTTGAAAATTATTAAGAAGTTAAACGGGGCAAAGCTTGAGTATAATTGCAATAAGAATTTTATACTTATATTCCAACCCCGTACGAAGGACGGGTACTCTGCTAGTCCTCCATGAGAATAACATGAGAATTTTAAAATTAAAATTGTTTTGAATTTTCTCCGTAACAATTAGGCGCATAATAACGCTTCAATATACTAAATTATTTGTTTTTTTTTAAGCTCTACAAAGTGGTTTAAAAAGAAATTGTGAAATTTTGTGTTTTTAGGCTCAAAAATGGGAAAAACCTATTTTTACCCCATAAAACCCCGTTCCCATAGTCCGATCATGCTGCTTCGCAAACTCATTCAAGTTTATCCCGCCTTACACCTTCAAACCAAATTTTATCAAAATCGGACAAAAATTACTCAAGTTGTGCGGATGGACACACACATATATATATATATATAAAAATTTGAACGAATGGTGTTTTTGGCCTCTGGGGACATCAAAATGAAAAAGTAAATCGGTCCCGGGCCTAGGTCTCACCATGAGACCTACGGTAATAGCTACTTCCCTATACGGAAATTCGCTAAAATCTCTCTTTGTAGCCTTTTACCGAACAAGAACTTGAATCCATCTGAATGAGGAATAAACCTGGTTGAAATTCCATTAAGTGTGTGAAAACAATAAACCGAAAGAACTTGTTACCGACTGCAATAATAAATAACTGGCTTGTGTTGGGAGAATGGAAGAAAACTGAAACATTTATTTTCATTTCAACAAATCAAAATAGAAGTAGACTGTCACACGTTTAATAACAATGTTACCTGTGGTTTCTCCTAGGTATAAACACAGTTGTAAAGTTAGCAGCTATCTTGTGGTTGGTTTCTTCCCTACCTCGCCTTTTTCATTAGCTTCAAGTAGTCTACATAGAAAGTACTAGGGGATTCTAATAAATTTGCTTATCTAATCTCTTACCTGGATCACTCCTTAGCATGTAGACTAAAACAAGTGTTTGAATAAAAAATGCAACATTTATGTTCAAAACCACTTGTCCAAAAAAAATAGGACCACCGGAGTAGTATAGGAGTAGTTCGGGTATCATCATTTTGTATTCAAATACTTTTTACTCTTCAATGTCTGAAAAAATGCAGAGTTAAAATTGGTAAAGGTGATGAATTTCGGCTGGACACTCCAATCAGACCCAATAGGCGAATAAGATTCGCCGTCTGAATAAGATTTACCGTCTTGCGACTTAACAGAATAAGGGTAAATACTGTATATATTTCAAGAATGTTACTAGACTTATTTATATTTACTTTCTGTAAATTCGGTAACACGTGCAATGCTGATGAAGTTTTTTTTTTTACTTAAAAGCTGGGATATGCGACTACATAATTTTAGACTATGGTACTACTTATCTACGGAACTAAAATTAATTATAGTCCCTACAATATCTTGAATAAGTTACAAAAGATCAAGTTATGGAGACAAAGTTCAGAGTGAAAAATAATTTATTCATAAGTCAAGGGTCAAATGATAGCGGCACTTAACATTAAAACAGAAGATAAACTTAACTAACAAATTCTTGCAAAACTCAAATGTGATCTGTCATTAGTGAATGAGCTGCCTTTTTTAAATAAGTTTCTTGAAATCTAACGCCGATCAAGGTCTAAAAATTAAGTATCACAATGACTATTTTGTTGTAATTAACTGTTAAACAATTAAATAAATGTATAAGAAATGAAATAAATTGAACTTGATTATTGTTTTAAATAGGTTGGCTAAAATTATAGTAGCTGTTTGATTTAAATGGATTGCTTGATTAATAACAGGTATTTAAACCTTTTGTAATATTATTTGGCCATCCGGAACTAACATCAGTGATGAAAATATTACATCTTTTTCTTAGCATCATTCTAGGACCAATTCGTTAAATACAAGGCAAAATGTGGTTTGGATTCCACTATAAACTGTATGCCCCTTAGTTGCCATTGGCTGTATGGGCTATTAACAGCTTTGTTTAAGGAATAAGTTGGCCTTAGTCACTAACAAGACTACAAGATTGGCCACTTATCTCCATTCATACTTGGCTTAAAATACCTACTTTCATAAGGTTGCCATTTCAAAATAATGTATTATAAAAGTATCCATTTTAACAATGAAAATAAAATAAATATTTCACCATGGAAACTAAAAATTTCTGTTTCTCAATATATTTCACTCTGTAAACATCTATTTTACTTTGAGCCAAATATGTTGAGAAGCCCGTTTGCTACAAACGTTGTGGATGGGTGGCCTTTACCTGACGAGGTCGCTCTGGAAGCGCTTGACTGTTGTAAGGTTCTTGACCCCTCGGTGGAGATCGCGGAGGAGGCTCAAGAAACTTCACCACAGCCAAACCTTCCAGAGCGTACCAGATCGGGCTCAACCTTTAGGTTTGTTCGTATTATTATTGTTCCAATTTGTACAATTTAAATTGTCAGCTCTTACGCTTACGACAGGAACATTGTCAGCTCTCATGCTTACGACACGAACAACATTAAAGTAAATTTTTTTGAGAGGTTGAGGACCCCCATCCGCCAAGTGACGTACGAGCTCTTGGCCAAACGGCCCTTTTCAGGGCCAACACATTTTTAACTCCGCTATACCGGTCCCCAGCCCAGGACCTCACCTGAGAGTAAAGTCAATATTTTTCTAAAACCTGAAAATGTGATTGTTGCTGTCAGGAGGGGGAGGAGGAGGGAAAATGTGGACAAGGAAAACTTTAAAAACTAGTGCTACAAATTAAATAACAAAATGGAACCACATAAAGCATACCGTTACAAGTACAGAAGGTATGCCAAAAGATAATTAAAAGTAATTCATAATTAAAACTAACAATTTCAGATGTTGGACAACTTTTGAGGTCAGGTGAGTTTTCAAAGATATTATTTTAAATATTGGTTTACACAAAGATATAAAGGAAAATGAAGCCGTTTCAAGTTTCAATAATCTTTCTATACATATTTATAGAAACACATAACATTTGTTAAATCATTGTTTGTCAGAAAACAGAAGGGCCGAGGAAAGATCGTTTATTTGTCTCCTCATCAGGTAAATTGAGATAAATTTAAGGTTATATAATTAACTGATAGTAAGCCGCAAACTGAGAGTTGTCACAGCCATTTAAATAAAAAATAAAATAAACAAAGAGGCCGTTCAGGTAGATGGGTAGTATATTTCCGTATCTGAAATCAACTGTGGTTCATTAATTTGTACATAGAAGTTAAGAAAGCATAATTCGGTTTTAACAGTCGATGTGATTTTTAAAATAAGTTTTCACTTACTTCTTAACTATGTTTTATCCTGCAAATTTTCCTGTGCTATACAGTACAATAAATAACAGTAAGTGTTTGGCTGTCGAGTATTAATGAATATATTCGAAGATGAAAGTATTGTGCTCTTTTTTCATCCATCCTTCAACCTGCTTCCGATAAATGAAAACCGGCTTTCAATCAAACAATAGTAAATATTCAGTCAAAAATATTTGATGTTCCAAATTATTATAAAGTATTCTATCTCATACGAATCCAAAAATCACTATTTTCTCACGCATATTTATCATCTCAAAACTCGTGTTAAAATAGCCAAACATCGGTTCACGTGTATAGACTCGTTAAAGTTTACAACCAACAAAATACTACGCATATCCTTTTAGATATCAGCCATATCACTCAATGGAGTCATGGTCAAAATCTTTTGAAATGGAGTTAAAAGTTCAAGCTTATCTTTTTACGTAATTTGCACAATTTGTGACTCTAGTTTCGATGTAAACTCAATGTTTTGATGACGTTTATGTTGCTTTATCTTATGTGTTGTCCAATGTTGACATCACTGTAACGTCATGTTTACTGGAAAGATTTATTTTTTTCTGATAAAACTCAATAAACTTGAAATCCCCTACAACTGTTAAAAATAGTGTTTGTTTACAAAGACTAAATTGTAAATATTATCAACATCCAATGGTACAACAACATAATTTACAACTAATTTTTCAAAATTTCTAAATAATTTTCTTGGTAAGAGATCTACTAACTTTTGAAACCATTATTGTGCAGTCGACCTTTGGCATCTCAAGTCTTAATAAGTTGAAATATTCAATGAAAATAATTTTTTATAGTCTTATAAAACCTGTCCAAGTACACAAAAACAAACTATATACACTAGTAACTCAAAATAATTTTGTTGCTATATTTACCTCTAAAAAATCATAATATGTCCTCTGTCCCTTAAGTTAAGGTAGTTTGAATTCAATTTACACTTTATCCCAACAAGTCGAAGTTTACTTTTGTATTTCAAGAACTTTTTTGTATCCCCGAATAACCAAAACAATGAGGTTGTTTGTTTGAGAAAGAAAACGAAAAAAAAATATTGTAAGGTACATTACATACCTTTACGTCAATAGTTCAACAAAGTGTGGTAGTCAAACTCATGTTTTGCCTATTAAAATAAAGTACTGCATAACTGCAGTAAGAGTATTACATGTATTTTTAGTTCTTATTATGATTCAAGTAATTTTTTTGGTCTGAAACACTATACACTTAAACAATACCGTTTGAAAAAGATTTTTGGGAATTTTGATTTACCAAATTTTTTTTACATTATTTACAAAAAAGTTACAGAAAACACATTTTGAGGTTACAATAATTTATTTAAAAATAAATCATATTTTCTCAATAGAAACCTGCAGCGTTTATACAGGATATGGTTAGAATTGCGCATCAGTGTCAGCCAGTGATGAGACAGTGGTGATAAGAGTTATCAACGCTGGGCCGGCGCCAGCGACCTCCATCAAATAATTGTTGCTTCTCGGACAGCGGCTAATTGTTATCAAACAGTCTCGCCAAGAGGTGCTACTCAAGAATGTCCATACTCAAGAACTTGTGGAAAGGAAACAACAAACATAAGAGTAAGTTTATGTTACATCTGCCTAGTTATATTTTTAAAATTTGAAATTTTAAAATATTTTGTTCAAGATAATTATTTTTTTGCTTCTCGATAACAAACACTGTTTTTTTTGCATAGGTACCCTTTAGTATGCTATGTATGCTACTGTATTCCTTGATAAAAAAAATTTAAAAGATTTTTGTAGACAGTAGGCCAATAATTTAACACATGATACTGTATTATGAAGTTTTAAGCGGAAATCAACCACGACTCCAATCTACACAGAAGGCTTTGGTTAGTGTATATTGATCAAGTTGATCTTATTTTGTATTGACATAGGTGTTAATATTGTGCATTTTATTTCATGTTGATGGCCCCTGGATTACTATATATGAATAATAAATAATTATGGTACAATTTACATCATCAAGTAATCCAAATTTGTGATGTCAGGTTAATAACCTACATGTTTCGCCGTATATGCAAAATATTATCATATTTATTTGTGTGTGTGTGTGTGTGTGTCACATCGATGTCTTGAGTGTTTTGTAACCCCGAAGATGCCGCATTTACAACGAAACATGTAGGTTATTAACCTGACATCACAAATTTGGATTACTTGATGAGGTAAATTGACCATAATTATTAGTTGAGCATTTGATTTATTCAAATTAAAAATACCTTCTTATAGACACTACTAAACTGTGTCAGCACTACTTTAATTGACTGCTTCATGGTAGAACTGGACATGGATTTTGTTCACTTGGCGCATTCTCACTGTTTCTTTAAGAGAAAACTATTTGTTTAACTTAAGAAAACAGTATTGACAATGATTATTTTATTACCGGTATACTAATGAGAAGAGAAATGAATATCTCAAATCTTGAAACCTTTTTAGTCCCAAAAAGAAAAATAGAAATAATTGTGAAGCCATTCAAATAACCATGCAATCCTAACATCAGGGTTGTATTTGTTGTCAGTGCTTAGTTATAAGCTCTTTGGCCAAGGAAGCCTCCCCTCTTTATAGGTATTAATATCAATAATATTAATTAGCACCCTTACCTGCACTACAGTGACTAATAAATATGGTTCTGCTAGAAAAATATTAACCTGAATATATACTAAAACATCTGAAGAGAATCCAAAGTTGTTTTTTTGGCAAACACAATCTGTATTACATAGGTAATGTATGCTTAGATAAATAACTCGTTTTATATTCAGGGTGTCCAAAAAGTCCTAGGTCGCTTAAATATGTTTCAAAATATTTAAAATAGAGCTAGAAAACTTTGCACAAAGTTACTGGACACAAAAATCTATTTTATCACTGAATCACATATTTAGTGATTCACTACTTCCTCAGGGGGATGGCATGTCATACAAATACAATGCCACAAATTTGAACACAAAAAGACTACTGAGTAAAAATTACAGTCATTTTTTACTCAGTTGTTATTTTGAGCTTAAATTTGTGGCATTGTATTCTACTAATAAAGCCCTTTAATTTCATGTCCATATCGACCTATGCATAGGGTTTTGATTTTCTTCTGAGCCTGAGGAGGTAGAGTATTATCATTGCAAATTCAATTTATCTTTGAATAGCTTTCATTTTGGACTCGTTTGTCCATTTGAGTCTGGGTTTGCGGCATTGGGGCATTGTATTCTACTAATAAATACCTTTTATTTGATATGCATATCAAACACTATGTTTACATTTAAGATTTTCTTCTGACTAGCGGAAGTAGCGCATCACTGAATATGTGATAAAATAGATTTTATATATTTATATAGATTTATACTAGCAGAGTACCCGTCCTTCGTACGGGGTTGGCATATAAGTATCAAATGCTTATAGCAGTTATGAGTGAGGACATGGTTTAAGAAATTTCGGTTCTTTTTGAAGTTCGTTCGCTACGCTCACTCACCTTTAGGTTGGAGCTCGTTCGCTGCGCTCACTTTCCTTCAGGTTAGCTCGTTCGCTACGCTCACTTGCCTTCAGGTTAGCTCGTTCGCTACGCTCACTCGCCTCCAGGTTGAAGTTCGTTCGCTACGCTCACTCACCTTTTGCTGTTGTCATAAATGTAAAAGAAATAATAGTGCTAGTGCTGCACCCTGTTGGTAATCCTTGTAACTTTTAATGCTATTGAACATCATAGAACATAACCAACTTGTTTAATTGAAACAGCTGTTAAGATTCATTAATTCCATTTCTCATAAGGTTAACATGGGAAACTCCAGAGCCACTGGGGCGGAGCCCCGAAGGATTTTTTGGGATAAAAATATGCCTATATGTTAATCGGGAATGTGAGCTATCATCATGCCAAATTTCAGCCCGATCCGACCAGTAGTTTTTGAGATTAGCTCATACAAACACACACACAGACACCACCTCTTCTTTATAATAGTATAGATAGATAGATATCCAGTAACTTTGTGCAAAGTTTTCTAGCTCTATTTTAAATATTATGAAAAATATTCAACCGACCCGGGACTTTTTGGACACACTGTATGCTATGCATTTGTTTATTAAAAATAATCTATTTGATCAGACTGTAGGCCTACATAAAAGTCAGTATAATAACACAGAATCAAAGAACAATGCACGACAGACAATACAGTTTATTAAGTTTTACGATCAATTAAATGATGTATGATTCTCTGGAAAAGGAGGAGATAGCAGCTAGATCCTTTTTGGCCCTTTTACAAAAATCACAACTCTGACCTAGAACTTTTCCATAAACGAGATCAATCAGAAAAATCTGTTATTAATAAAAAAACACATCTGCCCAAGAAGTTTTATGAATATGGTAGAGTTTAGCTCAATTTCTTATTTCTTGTAATTCATAATAGAAAAGTAGAAAATTCCATTACGCACAGATTTTCTTTATATTTCGACCTTAGAAAAAATTCAACAATATTAAATTTTCAAAACTGAAATTGCTCAATTTCTCGAAATTCTTATCAGGAAAAACGGAGATTCCATTACTCCTCTGAATTTCCCATAAACTTTGACCTTTGAAAAACTATGATAAGATAGATGAGTTAAAATTTTCCACCAGACATAATAATTTATCTTAAAGTGTAAATTTAAAATGTTATCACCCGTATTGCATAAATAACATTCAAGGTTGATAATAGTATTAATAGATGTCAAATAAATGAAGTTCACAGTTTATGGGTTCGTTCATTTGTCCCATTTAGAGGATTTGGCTTCCTTCCTCTTTAGCCATATTTTAGTAACCAATGTGACATTATAAAACATTTAATTTAACTAATAAAAAGTCAAACCGTGCAATCGGTGTGTTTTCCGATTTGCTAGGTTTCTTTATAAATGAACCCAGACAACACATATATCTTGATAGAATTACAAATCACTAATGAAAGAGATGTTTCAGATATGCATGTTTTAAGTAAAATTTTACTCGTTTGTTTCAAAACTCGTATTTATTTAAAAACAATTAACAATATATCCTTTTCAAAAGTTCAGAACCTCTGGTATTCGTGACATAAAAATCTTAAAATACTAAAGTTTGCAAAATTTGTATAGTAAAAATTAACTTATATAAATGGCTAACACAGCTTATAAACCTGGCTCATTTTTGTTCAAAATTTAGAGAGTTTTTGAAACATGGAACACTAAACAGAGTTAAAATATAAAATGTAACCGAAACCAGTGCCAAAAATGAAAAAGTACTACTCAGATGTGTGTTTATCTAGTAAACACACTAATGTTTTTTTTGAGAGCTTCACTTTTTGACAGCCAGTTTAGTGAACTGTCTGTGACATTATTGATAACATTGGTTCCCAACTGATAGCTGAATCTGTATATCAGCTGTTCTTGCACAAGCTTGTTGACCCTTTGGTCTAGTCTCAAACCTTTCTGAAATGTAGCCCACTTATGCAACAAAGATATTTTTAGTTTTGGGCAACTGACTTAATGATGGGTGTTGAATATTTTTTCAACTTGTATTCCCTCGTAATTTTTAAAATACAAAATTTGTGTTAAAATAGGATTGTCCCCATTATAACTACTAGCAGTTGGGAATGAAGGTGGTGTGATAAAATAACCAATGGGGTTGATTTATTTGATCAGGCTGTATGGAGTATGATCTAATGGTATGGGCCAAGCTGAATCGAGATACAATGAATTTGAGTTGATACACTATACTTGACCAAAAATTCCATTGTCATGGACCGAAACCAGAAAAAAAATTGTAGTCGTTTTCTTTAGAGTTTTGTTAATTTATTTCTTTGTTTATTCCAAACAGAACTACCAGATGAATGGGATCTTGCAGCAAACCAAGACTTTGACGGTGATGACTTCACGTCTACGGGAAGTTCATCCTACAAAGTGAAGTACTTGGGTCATATCCCAGTGGATGGCAATGACAACACCACGGACACAACGGCAAACGCCATCGAAGCCATCATATCCATGGTGAGCTCCCATGTGGTTATTTTGTGTCTCTGAAATTTAGTTAAATTGAGCTCCAATTTTTTAATAGTATTTCAATGTTGATAAGAGTCTAAGTAGTTAAATTGTTTTTCATAATTTCTCAAGTCAGGAATTTCTGTTCGCACGTCTGTATGTATACAACTGATTTCTGTCAGTTGAGTAAATTGGTAAAATCAATTATCAATTATCAATGATCGAGATGGGGATGCCACCTAGGTGCGTATTTTAACCCAAATATGAGTGGATGAGTGTAGAATGGTGTGTGATGACCTGTGTGTGTAGCTTTGTTACTGACTAAGATCAGCGGTTTCATTAGTCAGGATCATTACCTTCAACCAGGTTGACAATTCTTTTTCTAACCAAACACTTTTTTTCATATTCACCGTTCATGGTTAGTGTGTACGAGAGCATATTCTAATGTGCACTAGCTATTCCAAAAATGTTACCTGTAAGACTTATTTTAGATAGGTAGTTCAACTATTGAGTTATTATAATTTGATCTTGTCTGGAGAGGCACCATAAAATAATGGACTGGCTCAGTTAAAAGTTTATAGAGAGGGTGGATTTTTGGCGATTTCACTATGGGGTATTTTGGTACAGTTGAACCGAAGATAAGACGAATTTCAAGGGGTACGGGAAAAATTCGTACTATAGAGGTATTCTTAATAAAGAGGGTCATTTTATCGAGGTTTAATGCTGCTGTTATTCTTCTTATAGAGGTTTCTCTTCGCCCCAAGGTTTCTCCAAACAATCAATCAATTATCAATTATCAATTATCAATTATTTAAGATGGGGACGCCACTATGTGCGTATTTTAACCCAAATATGAGTGAAGGATGAGTGTAGGATGAGTGGCGCGATCTTGTAGTCTTGTTAGTGACTAAGGCCGACATGTTCCTTAGACACAGCTATTAATTAATAGCCCATACAGCTAATGGCAACTAAGGGACCTACAGTTTATAATGACTGAGGAAGGAGGAGGGATGGGTGGGGGTTTCATGTTGAGACAAGCTTCTGTTTGTTTTGAAAACAACGTACAATATGGAGGTTAAGATTATGATAAATTCGTCTTATAGAGGTCACGTTCGTCTTGTAGAGGTTTTGTGCTAAAAATATACATTGTATAGAGGTTAATCAGTCCTAGCCCATGTCACAAACAAATTCGTCTTATGGAGGTTTTTAACTTAATTACTACGTTTTATAGAGGTGTTTTTAGCATTGACCTATATGAAAGTGTCAAGGGGATTAAAAAACATTCGTCTTATCGAGGAATTCGTTTTATCGAGGTTCGTACAAACGAGGTTCAACTGTACCTTTTTACTCAACCTATCTTGTGTTGGGTTATCATAAACTTTATTTCATAAGAAAATTGGCATGTTGTGTTCATAAGTTAAGGAAAAATATTGTAAAAATAACTAGGTATATAGTGAAATTACCTAATCTGATACCTGCAATTAAAAGGGTTTATAAAGAGTTTAGTTCAGGTTCTTTATTTCTTCCCAGAATATGATTTTAAAATGTTGATCGCCAATCAAAATATATTAAAAACCTATTTAAGCTATATATTTAGCCAATGAATGTTTTATAAAACTTAGGTATTTGCTTGGTGTTCTTTCTTACCTCTAATTCATTTCCAGAGTAAAGCAAATCGCAAACTAATTCAGAAGGTGATGGTGTCAGTGAACCTTAAAGGCATTGAAATATCGGACAGAGCAAATGAAAAAGCAATAATGGATATTTCTATTTTTAGGTGAGTAGAGTAAATCATGATAAACATAATCTTCATTTAATAACTGAAACCTTAAAATTGAGCCGGTTTGATTTGTGTAATTGGTCATCTAGTGTTGATGAGTAAAAATAGTAAAAAAAGTGTGACTAGTAAAAAATTTTTTTCAAGGTATAACTTATATTCATTGTTTTTGCTTAAGTTTCACTAACAAACTTGATTTATGTTTTTATTTCAATTTAGAATATTTTTAGTTCCAGTTTTTTATTTGAGTACTTGTTAGATTGTAAGTGCTGTAATAGGAGTTGAAATATTTTTTGATTCATTACAGGATACGCAACTGCTTAGCTTATGCCAAAAATAGAAGAATCTTTGCTTTTCTTGCCACTGATTCCCAAGAGACCACAGAATGCCATGCGTTTCTATGCTCAAAAAGGAGCATGGTAAGTAAAATAAGATACAGTACAATTTATTTACATAATATTAATTGGGGAAATAGAATCTCCATGTACAGTTTTTGGTTGTACAGGCCATGCAAAATAAGGTCAAGCAGTAGGGGTTCGCCTCATTATGCACCTAAAAATTGTGATTTCTCATATATTTAATATTTAATCTTTTTGAACTTGGTGTCGTTTGGGGTAATAGGGAATTTCAAATGCTAAATAATAGTGTACTTGGATTTTTTTTTTTAAATCGGCAATTTTTTGTATTGGTAATTTAACATATAATGGTTAAAACATACCTCATCAGACAATCCTTAACATGTAGTGTCGAAGTTGCTACATATGTTTCGGCGGCTATTTACTGATCTCCGCCATCGTCAGGCAAACAAAAGGATCCACTTGATGTGTCGTCAGAATAAATAAATAAAACACACATTTTACAAAACATAAAAACGAAAATGATAGGCCTATCAATTACACGCACTGCCGTGGACATGGCAGGAATATTTGACGAGGTATGTTTTAACCATTATATGTCATATTACGCAATCCTGGGGCTATGAAAATGAATTTTAATGGTAATTAATTTAAGTTATAACAATTCAAATATGGCTGCCATTTTGAAATTAAAACAATTTATTTATTGATTTTTTTCGGAAATGGATTATAATTTGTTAAAATGGTAAACCAAATTTCATAAGACTTTATTAAATAGTTTCTGAGATATAAGTTTTTTTAATGGCAGAAATCTTGTTAACCTGGCTTTTGAAAAACATGTTAATATTTATTTTTTGTTTTATTTTGACCCATTAAACCTATTCCTATTCCTACATTTTTTGTACTTACGGGACACCCTGTATAGTAATCTAGTAAAATGCCGCTTGGGCTCTTTGTTTTCTACATTCAGTACCAAAGGATGTTAAAACACAAATTTTAAAATTAAATAAGTATATTTGTTAATTGGTTATGTTTAATAGAATTCTCAGTCATGGGATGAGTAGCATTTAAAAAATATGGTAGGCCTACACGCATGTTGATGTAACAGATTAACAGATTGTTGGTTTTTTAGGCAGAGAACATGGCTGTGACAGTGGCTCAGACGTTCACAGCTGTTTTCCAGATGTGGCAGACGGCGCGACGAGGAAGTATCGGCACTATGTACTACGGAAAATCCCCTCTACTACCGAGTAGGTTCAAACACTTTTCTTATACAATTTAATTCTTTTATCGTAGTGGTTATTGTTTATTTGTCCATAAATCAGATTTAATTTGTTCTATAAGTTAGCCTGGCTGGGCTTTAAAAGGATTCAAAGTATTTTCTGACTATCCAGAAAGTCTTAACTCGGTTCTTAATAGAAGTACTAAAATATATACAGTAGTAATTGTTGGAAAATAAAACTCTTATGTTTCTGTAAATTTAGGACTTACATCATAATACCACATTAAATATCTGTTGGATGATTATTATTTTTACATTATATACAAGAATATACATTATGAAATATTATTTTTGCAGGGATTGACATTTTTTCAGTAAATCCTCAACTAATTACAAGTCTCTCCTTAAAATCCAAAATATGGGTTTAAACATTTACATCAATTACCTTATCCTTATATGTAATACATGTAGGCGATTTCTACGAAACACTACTCCTCCGTTTTCTTAATAATGGATGGAATTTTACAAACAATGTGTCAAAATTAAGTATTTTTTGTGTAGACGTCACCTTTTATCAATTCCTGGGCAATTCCTGTAATAAACGTCCTTGGGCTTTGCCCCACAGGCCATCAAAATCCCAATGCCAATGTATTTCTTATGAAGAAACGATTTTGTTTACTTACAACAGACGAATAATCTGTATTAATTACATACTAAAACAGCTGTTCATAGTAAACACATGATACACACAAGAGCGTCCATTTTCAGAGCGAGTTCGTTTTCAGTTTCGATAACTGGAGTGGAGTGAGCAATCGTTTTCAGAGTGTGTTCGTTTTCAGTTTCGAGAACTGGAGTGGAGTGATTGATTATGATTACTTATCTTTGAGTTGACTCTTTTAAAGCAATCGGAAATTATGAATGTTATTCGTTTTGAAATAACGCCTGTAATACTTAGTAATTGCTCGAATTCGAGCAACAGATGCACTAGTATACTATATTGGCTGGGTAGCTGAATGCTTATAGTGCCCACCTAAAAATCAAAAGTTTGTCAGATCCATCCTGAGAAAAGTCAGTAGCTTTTTGATGGTTCGAAACTGGACCCAGCTGTTCCTGATCATTGGGCTTTAAATAAATGATCCTGACTAATGAAACAGCTGATCATAGTCAGTAACAAAGCTAAGATCATCTCACTCCATTATACACTTATCCTTCACTCATATTTGGGCTAAAATACACACCCACCTCAATTAATAATGATAATGTTTCAGGTTACAGTAAATTTGAAATGGAACATTCCACCTTCAAAGAGAATGTGCCTTTGTCAAGCCTATCTAATAAGTGGGTGAGTTTATATGGACAATTTAGACGATTTGTGGGTATTTTTCAATCTTAGATGTTATGAGTGAGTGTAGCCCCCTGCAATATTACATCCATCAAATATGCTAAATATGATTATCTAATTTTCATAAAATTTTGAACTTGATTAATCACATTTTTGTACTTTTTAGGCTACATGGCAATTACCTTATTATACATTTGTTTAATTAGATGGCACTTACTTATTAAAATTAACTTAGCTTTTTGTAAATAACTTGTGTTTAAAATTCAAATTGCAATGCTCAAAATATGTTTCATTCAACATCAAAGTAAATAAGAATGTGAATATTCTAAATATCAAGTTAATTTTATGTGTAGTGGCAGGAAAAATTATATTTTTACTGTAGGTATTAACCTATCATTAACCTACTATTTAACCCTACCATTAAAATTATATTTTAAAAAGTAAACTACGTATGTTTAATGTTTTGAATAATTTGTTACAGATAAGCTTTGACGACAGTCTGAAAGATGCCTCGTCTGATTCCACCAGGTAAACATCCGAATCGATTCAATCGTTTACTATAATTTAGCTTGCTTAATTGCTGAAAAATGAAACTGAAAATAATTACACCTAAAATGAAACTTCAATCCTCCTTGAAACACTTATTAACTTCCTAATAATTACTTATAGCAAATGTTGGATAATCATTTATAGATTTCATTTAATGAAGGGATTAGAACAATCCAATTTTAAGCTACTGCTTGACCCCTCACATCACCAAAGAGAAAAGCGCACAATACAAATTTACCCTTAAGAGAAAAAAACTTTTTCATCACTCCTCACCGAAAGTAACTATTTTCGATAACAGCTGACATCAATGAAAGTAGCCGTTTCCCAAGCTCTAATTTAGGGCGAGGGAAAATCGATCAGCTGATTTTCCCTCGCTCTCAATTAGTTTTCCATTTATTCACTACGCGCGCTAGTGTTTTGTTACGGTTTAATTTAATGATTCAAATCAGCTGTATGTATTGTTCAAAGTCGTTTTAATCTTTTATTTTGATGTTTGAAGTATTGAGAAATATACGAAGGTTTCCTTTAGAATATTTTATTTGATTTTATGTTTTAAAAATCAAACAAAAATGAACATAGGTTTACTTTTAGAAGGTTTTATTTTATTTTTATGTTTAAACAAATTGTTTGATAGATAATTATTGTTATATTACTGATGAGGTCTGCTATTCTGTGTTTGTGTATTTTTGCGTCGTGATGAAAAGTATCGTTCACAACTCGTACCGAAAGTTATTATCCGGCACTTGCTCCATTATTCCCGTCCTCGGCTTCGCCTCGTACGTGAAAATAGCTCTCACGTACTCGGCTTCGCCTCGCACGTGAAATTGGTGTTCACTGTGTTCGGCTTCGCCTCACACAAAAACTTGAGCGCGCGCCGGAAAATGCCACTTTCGGTCCTAGTAATGAAATATACTATACCCTTAAGTAAGAGAAAAAAAACATTTGCTTTTCCAGCATGCAAATATTCAAATGTTTACTTTCAAATGTGTAGACTTTCACACTCGCCAAAACAAGCTTCGGATTGTATAATGGTATGAGAAGTCCAAAGTCGATGTTATTAACCAGTTCCTTCTTCACAGGTCCATGGTATTTGCGGAAGTCTATGTTTCTCCTCCGGCATATTCTGAGAAGCCCTTCTCTGAAAGTCAGCTGACAAAGTCCAATGAATGGGCTTCTCCCTCTCCCGCAACTGCGGAACTAATAGTATTGTAGAATTTATTGTATGTTTGAAGTTATTTATATAGGTTTTTTTATACTTTGTACAAGTTTCTGTTGACAGAATCAATGTAAATAAATTACATAAGCTTAACTTTTATAGTGTCTTATTTTATCCTTGAATCTTTATGGTTGTAATTTTGCTGTAATTTATTAAAGCTTAAAGCTGATTTGATAAATTCACAAGTACAAAAAGAATGTTAATACTGTGTATTCAATAACATTATGAAAATTAATTTGTTCCAATATAAGAATCACAAAAATAGAAAAACAAAAATTTACATACAGTCAAATGTTAAATGGATAGATTTTTCTTAAAAATATTGTTGTTAAATTAAAAGTATTGAAATAAATAAAAATTTGTATCTTATTTTTGTTTTTATTTGTTAAGTCTGACTAAAAGATCTGACTTTATAAAAAATAAAGTTAGATCCCAACAAAACCAGGATTCACACAGTTTTCTTAAAAAAATATGCATAAGTGCAAAATAAAAAATAAAGTACAATATTTTTATAAATAATGTTTACATTTCCTCTCCAACTGTCTTTACATGTGCTGGAATGCCTTATGTTATTATGATTGAATTTGTCTCAGCTGGATATCCATTCATGTTTATAAACAACACTTGAGTTACATTCAACACCAACATGACATGACTTAGAAACATTTACACATCGAGACTTACATGAAATTTCCTGTTAACAAATAATTCAAAATTTGAATTCCAATCATACATCAACATGTCTCTACCAACATTACTCAGCTTTGCAAGGGTTGCTACCAGAGCTGCTCATAGGTTTATGGTTCCTGTTGTCACCGCGAGAAACAAAACTTACAAAGCGGAAGAAGTATTGTCAAACAACGAGATGTCTGTTTATAAAAGACTTTTCAACAAGATGGACTCAAATAAAGATGGAAACCTGACAAAAGAAGACTTGAAGCAGGGTCTGAAAGACTTTGTGAATTATTCAGCGTCAGAAGAAGAATTGGAAGAAACTATGAAGACATTAGATAGCGACAAGAATGGGACGATAGATTTTGAAGAATTCATCGGTTACATCGCTTGGTCCAGACAGATGCGAGTGGAAGAGTCTATCAAATACGCGTTTGGAACTTTTGACAGGAATAAAGATGGTCTGATCAACAAAGATGAACTACGAGAAGCTCTTGTAAGCCTGGGTGTCATGCCTAATGAGGTTTTGCTGAACAACATAATGTTGGTGTCAGATGTTGACAGTGACGGTAACATCACTATGAGCCAGTTCAAGGATATATTTTACTACAAAAACCCTCTGCAATGATTAGAGTAAAAACAGTTGTAATAAAAAAATACACTGATTTTACACATTCGTATATTACATTAGTTTATTGTGAAAATTTTATAGCTAGAAGTGAGGACTTAAAAACTCACAAAATTTAAATGTATAAAACATTTAGGAATTTAATAACCCTGTCATGGGTTCAACCCAAATTGTTAAATCCAGCCATCTTGCAACAGCTTTTAGCCATGCAATAGAGTCAGAAGATGATGCACTGGAGCCAACCTTAAGAGCCGGCAGGACCGCCGACCACCTTGGATTTTCTGGCCATAACAGCAATGTCAATGGTTGAAGTATATTATGGCATTGTTTATTAAGATAAAAAATTTGCAAAATGTCTCATTTATAAAAGCTATTGAAACCGCGGATGGGATTTGTTATATACAGTACTTTTTAATTGTAAATTTTACTATTTTGTTAAACTACATAAATATATTGACTTAAACTGTGATTACGGTGCATGGATATGCTTCAACAGGAACGCATGTTTTTGCTGATCGGCACTAGGGCAACCACTGTTTAGCCTGGCAACTGACGGTCAAAAACAATGCAAAACTATTGACTCCTGCCGACTCTTAAGCTGGAAAATTCTCTTCTAGATAACAACAAATGAAAGGTCTTGTAGAAGGATTGAACTTTTTTGCCTTACAGTATTTTCTGTCTGTAGTAAAACTATTGGTATTTTAATATTTTTCTGGTACAGTACCTGCATCAATATACTGAAATATATCAGTATCAATATACTGAAATACCTGATGATTGAAAATGCCTAAGCTAGCATAATATAAAATAGCCCGACCACAGCAAACCTGCAGACAAAGGGAATTTCTATTTACCTGTTTGGAATTTCTCTTAAATAACTCCTTAAAATTTTCAGATTTATTTCCTATTAAATTTTAATGAATACTTTTTAGGTTTGATGCTATAGGGAGGGTAATACAGAGTGTTTTTATTGAAATACTATAAGCTTAGTAAGTTATAAAGAAAATCGATTTGCCAAGTTTGATCAAAATATATCCATAAACAAGCAAACTTCAACAGTGTACTTATTCTCCATAAAAATAATATGGCAATTATAAATAAAAATTTTTGGGAAATGTCTCTGTGAAGTCCTTGGAAACTATTAAGCATACAACGATGCTTCAATATACTTAATCTTTAAGATCCTCTACATAGTTTGGGGAAAATTGCAAAATTTTATGTTACAATGGTCGAAAATGGACCCACACCTTAGAACCATGTTCCCATAGTCCGATCAATATGGTTCGCAAACTCCATAGTAGTTGATGATTTTTACTAGAGTAATCGTGCTACCGGACTTCCATAGGCCAATAAAAATGTATTTATATGTATGTATATGAATTTGAACAGATGGTGATTTGAACCATTTTAATTTTAACTCTGGAGACATAAAAATGAAAAAGTAAAGTCTTACAATGAGACCTAGGGTATTTGCTTATTACCCTCGTGGGGGTAACACGCCAAACTATGTGATTTATTTAGAAAGTGGATTTAAAAAAGTGTTTTTTTATAATATGATTACGAATTTAAATTACCTATTAAAAGTACTACATTTCTCCGATAATAGACTTCCTTTGATTCTAGCCAAACAAATTATAAACCATAACTTAGATTGGTGCAGACAGTGGAAGATGCTAGGTGAGAAGGTAGGGGTTGATGTAGATTTTGGATCAGAGGCGGTAAAATCGAGATGTCTGACGGTGGTGGAAAAGCTGAGTGACGTATGGATAGGAGAGTGTATAGGGCGCGCACGCACGTCCATTCACCACAGTCAGCTGATCAGCCTCGACCTTGGACCTTGGCCTTGAACTTGGCGATAGAAGCTACCTTACTGATAACGCCGATGTCAGCTTCGTTTCCTGGATAATTAAGGCTAGGGCAGAGCTGCTCTATTTGAATGGTAAACCTTGGTCAACGGGAAATAAGTTCTGTTCTCTTTGTAATATGGGTGAAATTGAAACCACATTTCATTTCATCGCTATTTGTCCAATTTTAAGTAATCTTAGATTAACATTTTTACACAATAGAGTCCTTTCTGAACGGGATTATATTAGTTTTTTAAATGGCAGGGATTGGCGTGCGTTAGTAAATTATTTAAAAAACACCTGGCAATACAGGTGGATTTTAATACAAGAATTTAACAATTGAGGAAAAAAATATCATAAAAATTTAAATATCGTACTCTTCCAAACTTCTGAAAAAAAAAACCCGATATAACTAGAGAAACTGGTTGGATTGTATTATATTTCTTAATTTTAAAATATTGGCCATAATTGTTAGTTTAAGGAAAGATTTATAATTTTATTTTAAAGGAGTCCAATAACTGTTTTGATTTAGTTTTAGACGTGCCAACCCGGCAGACGACCGAGAGGTTATTGTTGTAGCGCATAGGAACGTCCCCTGCGTGGGACGAATTATTGTGCACTGGGTATTTAGAAAATAAAGCGCTTTTTCTTCTTCTTCTCTTCTTCTTCTTCTATTACCCTCGTGGGAAATTCACTAAAGTCAATTCAACACAAGCGTATAATGGCAATTATTTATTTTCATCTCTTATAAATATACAGATACTATAGCTATACAATTGAGTTTTACAAGTAAAATATAGGTAACAATTTCATATAGGTATGCTAAATACTTTAATATAGTTTTTTGGTAGGCAAAACAGTAATAAGTGATTTCACCTCTAATATAGTACTTTAAAACTTATACTTACAAAGTTATATAAAAGCTAAGATTGTTTTACTACATTTCATGCACAGCCCATATCACAGTTTGTATAATTAAAATAAAATAACTATATTTGCTGAATTATGATTTAATTTTGCAATTTTAAACTCCATGAAAGTTTTCAAAGGAGGAAGTATTAACAACTTCAATACCATGTGACATGAGACCTTTCTTATCTGAGTGTGAAAGCTGGTAGGCGACTTGTTGAACAATTTTTTTTCAAATCATGCTAAGAGCTTGTGAACTTTCCAGATATTTTATGAAATAAATCTTAGTTATTGCTTTCCAAAAATAAATGCAGTATTTTATTATCAAGTGAAAAATAAGTTTAGATTAATCCTTGGCGGATAAGACAAAATATAACAGCAAAACAATAGAAAGTCTTGTTTTACTAAAACTAGAAATAATAATTTTTTAATGTGGTGTAAAAGTAATTGTGATAATTTTTGATGTATATCAGCATGATGCAGATACTACATTTGAAACCCCTTTTGAATTTAAATTATAAACAATTCAGATACAAATTACAGGTACTTTAAGATTACTCAAAGAAAATTCCAAGGTCACGATCGATTACTATCGTGGTCTTCAGGGTAGAGTACAGTGAATGTCACAACAGTATCATGGACATTTTGGTCTTATTTCTTTTTTTGTCCTACGACGCTAGGCATGAGCTCGGAATTGTTTTTTGCATTAGGCTAGACCTAGGGGTTGCGGCATTATCATTTAGATAAAATCTAATGGTGATTTGGCGGGATTTGTACTCAGGACCTCAGGAACCGAAGTCCCGCGCTCTAACCACTAGACCAGCTCCTCAATTAATGATAGTCATCATAAAGGTAGTAACAGAGCACTGCTACTATAGTAGTGGAGATAAAAACTCTATTTTTTTCTAGAGATGAAAATTTAAAACTGGCTAAAAACGTCAGTGCACCATGTTAGTGATGTGACAAAATTTAACCTCAAAGACCACAACGTCATTTCTCAAAGGAGAGTTAGTCTACAACAACTGACTCTTGAAGCCGCTCTGCCACACAGTGTCCTTGAGGTAGGCCATGTCTGGACTGCTGAGCAGATTTTGCAGAATGTCCTTGAAGCCCAGCTGACTGGCCACTCTGTACTTGACGTCCAGGAGACTCACAGACGACACAAACCATCTCATGTTTGTCTCCAAATCTTTCTCACCGTGATATCTGCGAGAAAATTACACAAAGCTTAGTCTTGTTATAAATAGTGTTATTAAGATTTTTGTTAGGATGGAAGGCTTGCCTGAATAGGAAAGCGTTCACTCCAGCTTAAGAAACATAAAAACTGCAAACTTAAACTCTAAAAGATCTCTTACCACTCATGTCATCATCCTTACCCCAAATCGCGGCAAATTATTAATTTTTGAAAATAAAAAGTTAGTTTTTAGTTCTAAAAATATAGTTTTTTTACAAAAAATTGCGGTCCACTTAAGCTTGCGGTCTTAGGCTTAGTTGTAAAATAAGCTATAATATAACTTTGTTGTAGTTACGACTCAGTTGTAAATCCGGCATTCCCTATGAGTTGGACTGGTTTAAAGTCTTTGAATTCAGAAAACATTAGTTTATATCAGCGCTATCAGGCTCATTTCGACTACATCAATTTTGATTTTAAAACTGGGGACAATATTAATCTGGGGGTGGAATGTCAAGTTTTATCATTAGTCAAATCTATAACTTTAACACTGACCTCCTGACCACGTCTTGTACGACAGTCTTGGTGAGCTCGTGGTGTCTGGTCCAGGTGTTAAGGTAGGTAGAATCTCCCTTCACTACACAGTTGTGGTAGAGAGCTGCACTCCAGTCTACAGGGATGTTGTACGCACTGGCCACAATGTGCGCCTGCTCACAACTACGACAGAAGAAACTAATTTATAGATGGACTACAAGATTGGTGTTGGATTATGTTAACTATGGTGTATTCTACACACTACCTACCAGTACATAGCCTCCTCTATCAAGGCCGCGATGAGACAAAGTGGCAATGCCGTAGTCCTGGTCTACCATTACAGCTGTAGCACTAATTCATGTGGAGTGTTTGCGCAATTTTTTATGTTTATTGTTTACACATTTGTTATTAGTTATTACTATGGTGAGTGGGGGCGTTGCTACATTGTTGGTCTTGAGTAAGAGAAGACTATGTACTAAGCTTAGCTAGCTGGGTGCTGAGTGAGTGAATACAGCGCTAGTACTCAGAAGGGTTTAATCTTGAGAAAAGTCAGATGCTTTTGTTGGTTCGAAACTGGACCCAGCTGATCTTTATCAGAAACAAAGCTGTTATATAATTTATTCAACACATGATTAGTTTAGATTTCTATGACAACCACATTAGGGTGCATTTAAGGCAAAAATTAGTGAAGAGAAATTAAATGACAGCTGTGTTCTGACAAAGACCAGCTAGTATTCAGGACCATTCAATGATTCAAAACATCTGAGTGAATTTTCAAACCATTAAAAAGCTCCAGTCTTTTTAGGACTGACGACCATCTGATAACCAAGCGAATGGTATCTTGACTCAGCTACCCTTCTATAATGAATTGTAATCCTTGCCTAGAGTGAGATTTTTAGAAATTGTATCATCTTTAGTATCATCCTATGATCACTGCATATTTAGGATTAACAACCTAATAGTCCTTAGAGCCTAGACGTTCTAACTAAAAAAACAATTAAAAACAGTGCACTAGATATTTCAATTACAATCACTTTGGTATTTGAAAAAATATTTTGGTATGGTAGCTCTTCAGCGGCTGTTTGAAATTAACAAAATTAACATGGCTCTTATAGCAGGCAAATTCAAGATGGCCGTCACCTTCCATGGACTCCCTTGGAAAATAATTGAAAACTACAAAAATAATTTCTAATCTCACAGTGCTTTACATGTTAAAATTATAATCACTTTGGTGTTTTAAAAACATATTTTTGGACTCATTAGCAGCTGTTTGAAATCATCTAAGATGGCCCCTAGCCTCCAAGGACTCTTATCAAATGTTAAATAACTTGACAACAGCCATGACAGCAGCCATTTTGTAATTTGTAAACTCTTTCTCTACACTTGACAAAGTCCCTCAGGCGACGAAATATTGTTTGCACAGTGTATTTTCTACATGTTCAATGGCCTACATACACTTTCAAGGTAAGCTAGCTGCTATCCTACTTTTTTTACAATTTAAAATCCTGGACTAGAGCCTTTCCTTCAACAAAACAAATGTGAAATAACAACTTCATCCGTACCTCAAGACAGTATTGACCAGGTTGACTGCCTGTTCTTGTGTCAGGTTGATTATACGAGGTACGTGAGACTCTGTAGTGTTGTTGAGGAGAGACAACTGGACTGCTATCAGCTCAGCCTGCTGCACACTGACCACCCCACACTTCATCTTCTTGGCCTGAGATAATACAATCGATACAAGTCACATCTTATATTGCGAGGTTGTTTAGAAAATTCTTTGACCGACTTTGAATACTTCTAGTACACTTTTCATCCTATTGAGCGGTAACATTTGAAGCATGTTTAGGTGAGAGAACTGTTTAACAGCAGGTTAAAATTCTTTAAATAGAAATATTATATATAATTGAATTATTAATATTTTTGACAATGATCGACCATCCATTCATTACCGACATTCCATTGATTTTCTTTAGACGTTGTCGTGTCAAGAAAGAAAATTGTAATTGGTTGCAGGAGGAAAGCGATTTTTCTATAATTGTGAGAAAGGATATATGATTGAGTTTATTACAATGCTGCCTTGATTACAAGGTTGCCATGGTTGCTTATCCAATGTTAGGGGGGGGGGGGTTCGATTTTGGTATAGACACATAGAATTTAAGTGAATAAACAACAAAAATAATTTAGCACCCAGGGACGGATTTTCGTTGCAGAGCCCACAGTTTGTCCAATGCTGTGGTGCATAGTCTTCATCGGCAAACATTTTAACATCCGTCTTCAGTACTACTAGTTTTCTCAAGAACCGATGGTACCGAGAAATGCCGCCATGTAGTTTTAAATTCTCTAAACGAAATGATACTTTAAATCCCATGCAACCCTCCAAAATAATTCTGTACCTGCATGTAGTGCTCTGTTGCATCACTGTACTTGGACATGACAGTTTGTAAGCAAGTCTTGTTGTGGCTGTTCACTGCGACTCCTGCCTCACTGATCTGCAAAAAAAGGAGAACAAATATAAGCAAAAACTTTCTCAAACACAAAAGTATTGCTTGCTAGTTGGTTGGGATGAAACTTTGAAAAATCGCTTGCTAGATGATGCCTCGATTGGATGACAAATATATTCATAACTCTTTCTAAATGATCTTTTTTAAGTTAAGGCATATCTTGACTACAACTGTAATATTTTAATATTAACTCTAGCAACTGAAAATATTATTAAGTTGTCTAACCTCAACTTTGGACAGTTCAGCTCTAGCTTCCTCTTCATAGAGAGAAGCTAGGTCACTGTACATGCTGAAATGATGAGCCACCAGCGAGAACAACTCTTTGTCGTGACGTACAAACTCCAATGTGGCAGCCATCAGTTGGGGATGCTGCACAAACAACACTCAATCCTATTATTCACAAACTCATTTAATGAGCAATTGTTTTGTTATAGATGGTGAAGTTTTAAATCTCTAGAAAAAGGGATACAGATGTATTATATACCAAAAGAGCCCGGGTAGGGTTTGTGATGGGTCAGCAGGCTTTACCTTAATGGGAAAAAAGACTATTTCCTTACCTTTCCTATATCTTACCTTAATGACAAGAAAAAAAATTTGCACTATACACAAAAATTAGAATTTTACCATCGCTGACAGTTTTTAAAACCATAGATGTCATAAATTGGGAAGAGAGTCGTGGGGTGTTAGAGAGAGCCCACTGTCCTAAAAAAATAAAATGTGGGATACATAAGACATATTTTTCTGGAAAAAAAATTTGATAGTCCATCATCGACAAACACAACCAACAAATCTTTAACAACTATTTTACTCATAGTGTACTCATTTTTGTAAATAACACTTACTGAATGTAATTTAACATCATTCTTATACATAAGAAAACATGTACATACAAACTATCTTTGGTAAAAATAGCTTATTAAATCATTCCGTAAGTTGATCCAAGCCGCAGAAATATATTTTACACACATACCTTATCCAAACCTTTTCCCAACAAGTACTCAAACTGATCATTGTCTTTCAATATCTGGAATATGTAGCTCATTTCAGTGTATCGGCTGATTCCAGTCAGCAAGCGTACCTGCAACATGAAGAAAACATCAATTAACTCTATTTTGTAAGGATAAACCATTCTAATATACAACAATAATTTTTTGTAGAGTTCCAATTTCTCTACAGATACATTCTTGGTATAAATCCTAGGGTTCTACGAGTGATTACTTTGAGCATTGACTGTTGGATACTATATGGATTTGTTAATTGTCTCCTGCGGTCGTGGAGAATTGTGAGTGCTCCTTGGGGTAGCAGTGGATTTGTTAATTGTCTCCTGCGGTCGTGGAGAATTGTGAGTGCTCCTTGGTGTAGCAGTGGATTTGTTAATTGTCTCCTGCGGTCGTGGGTGAGTGCTCCTTGGGGTAGCAGTGGATTTGTTAATTGTCTCCTGCGGTCGTGGAGAATTGTGAGTGCTCCTTGGGGTAGCAGTGGATTTTTTAATTGTTTCCTGCCGTCGTGGAGAATTGTGAGTGCTCCTTGGGGTAGCAGTGGATTTGTTAATTGTCTCCTGCGGTCGTGGAGAATTGTGAGTGCTCCTTGGGGTAGCAGTGGATTTGTTAATTGTCTCCTGCGGTCGTGGATAATTGTGAGTGCTCCTTGGGGTAGCAGTGGATTTGTTAATTGTCTCCTGCGGTCGTGGAGAATTGTGAGTGCTCCTTGGGGTAGCAGTGGATTTGTTAATAGTCTCCTGCCGTCGTGGAGAATTGTGAGTGCTCCTTGGGGTAGCATTGGATTTGTTAATTGTCTCCTGCGGTCGTGGATAATTGTGAGTGCTCCTTGGGGTAGCAGTGGATTTGTTAATTGTCTCCTGCGGTCGTGGATAATTGTGAGTGCTCCTTGGGGTAGCAGTGGATTTGTTAATTGTCTCCTGCGGTCTTGGAGAATTGTGAGTGCTCCTTGGGGTAGCATTGGATTTGTTAATTGTCTCCTGCCGTCGCAGCAAAGTTATGAACATCTCCTGCGATGATAGTGAATTCATGAACATTTTCTACGGTCATGGAAATATCATCATCGTCTCAGGCAATCCTGAATGCTAAAATCTTAAATTTTAAATTGCCCACATTAAGGATACTTTTTGTGATCAAGATAATTAAAGCTTAGCATCACTGCCCCAACTCCAGATTGGCTTGAAAATGATTTTTTAACTGAAACGAGCTCATTGGGCCAACTGTTGGGGACCTGTAGAACTCTAATAAATTTGGTAAGGCAGATTTGAACTAGCCCTCTATTTCAGAATAAGTGTTTGTAGGAGTACTAGCTTATAGAAAACTCCCATAAAAAAGTTGATAGCACACTTACCATCAGAGGCCACTGGTTACAGTTGAGCAGTCTACTGGTGAGAGAGTGAGACAGGTTGAGTACAGAGGAGATGCCTTCCATATGACACACCTTGGTGAAGCAGTTGTGTGCCAACACCAGCAACTCTACACCTATGGACAACATGATACTTAGCAAGACACATACAACATCAGAGTACAACATGATACTCAGCAAAACATATTGCACATCATTATATCTTCAAAACAAAGATGAATAACTAAACTATAACAACAAGAAACATGGCTTGGATTCAATTTATATTCATGTTACATACCACAAGACGAAGGATAATTTTTTTAGTTATTATGTGTCAAGCATGGTGTATAAATTAAAGTTCTTTGGCTGTTGCTTGAAATAATGTGCTTTGGGACCCCAATGACCCCAATATTCTCCCGCCATTGGAACAAAAACAAATTAATATACTCGTAAGCTGGTAGCACTGGACTTGGAACTTGAGGGGAGAGACCACAGAGAAGCGAAGACAGAGGAGTAGAGAGAGTGTAGCAGCAGAGAAGAGACCATGGGGAATCACGATCAACCTGCATGGAGGGTGAGACGCCAAGGCCGAGATATAGGGGAGGACCAGACGACATCAAGAGGACAGCGAGAGTGTACGCCTAGGGCCTAGTGCGAGTTTATTGTAAACTAGGGAAGTTAGCAGGTTTGCCACCAGACAAGGAGACGAATAAATCAAAGTTCTGCTTTACCAGATGAATTGGTATTTTTCTTTGGTCAACTTGCCCCCCTCACTCAAGGTACCATGACAATATGTTACGGTTATCATACCTTGTACGTCTTCCATCCTATCAAAATTACTGAAAGTATTACAAGTTTCAGGTCATATGATCCATTTTCAAACCAAAATAAAATGGAAGACAGTATACAGGGTGAGTTTTAATTGTCCCCCCCCCCAACTTTTTTCTACATTTTTTCAAATATCAATCCCAGACCACTTTAAAACATTGTTGGGTAGTAAGTACTTTATTTTGAAAAGGTGGTCATTTCCGGCCGCCATCTTGGATCCGCCATATTGGATGCAAAATATTTTTTTCAAATGTAAAGGTGGGGTTGGGGTTGTGACCCATTATTTCAAACTAGATTGTTACCCTGATTACAATTTAATGTTGTTACCGCAAACAGTTTAAAAAAATCTTGATCCATTATAAAGTTATGAGGGCTTTTTAAAACTTTATTTTTAGCCCATTTTAACAATGTGCATTTACAATCTAAGACCATAATCTCAAAATAGTGCTAGATAAAGATAAGTATACACTACCAGTCATTGTCGACCTATTTTCACTTGGTTATGGCAGATGTAATTTTTTCGGCCGCCATCTTGGCTCTGCCATTTTGAAATGTGATAAATTATTTTAAATATGAAGGGGGTGTTGTGACCCATCATTTTGAACTACTTTTTTAAGCTAAACTCAATGCCGCAATCAATTTTTTGTCATCAAGTTTTATTTATGAAATATTGCAATTTTTTTGTACAAAATGTCAATATTTCAAAATCAAAATATGAAAATGAAAAACGGATCATGGAATTGAGTTCAGCTTAAAAAATTAATTCGAAATGATGGGTCACAACACCCCCTTCATATTTAAAATAATTGATCACATGTCAAAATGAAGTACTTACTACCCAACAATGTTTGGAAGTGGTCTGGTAGTCCAGGCGCTGAGGGGGTTTGAGCATGCATAAAAGTGTAACGAAATTTGACTTTTGATTGTTGCTATGGGTACCTAGTAGACGAAGAAAATCGATGTTGTCCCATTTCTAGGTGGTTAATAACATGGGGGGGAGGGGGTGAAGTTGGGGGGCCGCCGCGCACAAAATAGCTTATATCTCGAGAACCAAAAGTCATATGAATACGTTAGACATGTCAAACTGTGCAGAAAAATGCATTCTACAAATAGGCTATGTAGTAGTTTCACGGAAATTGACAAGAAGTTACTAAAAATTATATTTTTTAAATTTACGATAAGTATAATCAGGAGTATAATGGTTTTTGTTGTTGTTTAGAACCACTAATTTTTTAATTGACAACTTTTGAGAGTAGTACACAATAGGTAAATAGTACTTCTGTATAATGAAACTATTGCGGTACAGAACTTAACAGCTATACAATCCTCAGATCCAATAAACATAACACAAACAAAGGCGCAAAACGCGTCGCGGTCATTGTTCCTGCTGCCGTAACTATTAATGGAGAGTACAGTTCAAGCTGAGACTTATATTATACTTTTAGAAAGATGGAGATTCTGAGGATTCATTTTCATATATATAAAATAGTATTGAGTGACTATTATGTAGCGAGAAATATAGTTTGTTAAAGAAGAGAGTTCAAAATATATTTTGGTGGTGGATCGTTTCCATCACCATCTGAAACTGCAATAAACTCCCTACAATTTATATATCTCTGAATCTGAGGTTGGTTATAACAATTTTATGTAGTTTTGAAAAGGTCATAAAAATTATGTTTTCGTAAAAAAATGTTAACATTTCACATTCTGACGTAAATTACTCAGGAAATTTTGATTTCAACTACATTTAACTATACATTTTTAGAAAGAGCTTTTACTCTTAAATTATGCAGTGTAACAAGGCTACAAATACAAGCTAGGAATACAATGGAAACTCCATGTACAGTATCTAAACTTAAATTTATTTCATTACAATACAAAATTGATGGTAAAAGAAAAGAAACTAAGGGTTCACAATAAAAGTTTACAAAGGGTGGCAAATGAATTTACTAATTTAAGCTTTAGGCTAGGCCTATTACAATAGTTCTAATTTAGGTTGAGGGGTTATATTGCATGGATCTTTATCCCAGGTGGGGTGATCGAGCGGCGTTTGAATTTCATCTTGTGATTATATATGTAACGGTGTCTTTTTATTATTATTTATTTATTATGTTATGTAGGCCTAATTCTTATTAATCTATTGAATTCTTATAATTTAACACTTAGCTTAATGCCGCTTCCTGCGTCGAAGCTCCGGTTGGACGACTCCCTTAGTCCCCTGGCGCCACTTCATCGCGTCGCTACGTAGGTTACAGTACTTCGTCTTTACTCGATCTCCGTCGTTGAAGTTGTAGTCCAGTTCAGTCAATCACCTGTCGTTGTAGTTGTGGTCCAATTCAATCGGTCACCTGTATCACCGGTGTCATCATCTTGCTCCTCGATTTCCGTCGTTGTAGTCCAGTACAGTTCAGTCGATCACCTGTAGGCCTATCGCCATCTTGTTCCTCGGCTTCACGACTACCTTTACCACACCCTCGTAGTTGTCAAGACCGGTAGCAGTAATAAGACAAGTTGTGTTGAGTAATGAGTATTTATTGAGAAAATAGTTAGCACAGGGCAACACGTCACTAACTAGCCTGTCCTGATGATCCAAATACTTTAAACTAACATCCAGTGACTAACTCTGTACAACCTCACTCAACACCAAGCTCCTCTCATCTGTCTTCTCTTCTCCTTCCCTTAGGTCTTTAGTCTCTCACCCCATACGCTACTCCCCCGTACCCAGGCTTTGGACTCGTCCACTAGACGTTTTGCCCCGTAGAGTGCTGACCCCTAGTGGCCGAGTTTTGAATTAAGTCGCATAGTAGAGCGCGCTATCAGTCATTCATGTACCGTAGTTAAGAGGTATTTTGATTTTTGATTCTAGTATAAGAAAAATCTGATCATACCCGTTACAATACCCCCCTTATTTTAAACTACAGTTGAACATAGCAAAAACTGTAATTTAAAATAACATTCCATCTAATTTGGATCATCAAAGAACTTACAAATCGTACTAATATTAATTAAGTCTACTTTACAAAATCTTTGAAATATAAATCTTCGTTCTTGATGGATGTGATGACTTCCATTCGTGACATTACATAGATTTCTACCTGAAAACACCACAATACTGGTAGGCTACAGGTTATTTTAACTACCTACCTACCTAACTTAAAAATAAAATGAATCATTCATAAAATTATAATTTTCATCAGGAATGGCAAAAATATTAATTGCAAAAGCATCTAATTCTCACTAATGAGCATATGATCCCGCACTCTCATATCGCTACTACTTTTCCCTTTCAATTCTCCACTTATGAGAACAATGCACAAACAACTATCCTGAACCTCAAACAATAAACAACATTATGCAATAACATTCTAGTTATCAATAATATGACATCTAAACCAAATATTTTATGTACATAGTTTTGCCTTACTTTTATCGATTAATTTCATAGGCTACTTGATAATTAACTGTGTTAACAACACGCAGGCTAGGGTAAGGGTTATGGCTGACCTTTACATACTTATCCCTTCTGCTTTAAAATTGGCTGTTATATCTAAGGACTTTTAATGACATAATGATTAACGGTTGATAGGGATTAGCTATATCAATTTAATCACGGTAACGCTTAAGCTGCGACACGTTATAAGTTCCCTTAATCTCGTCTCTAATCACGTCTTTCAAAACATATGCGTTAGCCATTTTCCTGCCAACTACTTCGAATGGGCCTTCATATAGTAAAAAGAACTTTTTAATCTTTTTATTTATCTTGTCTGAGAGGTGGTGTGTCTTGACCAACACTTTATCTCCGATTCTATATTCGACTGAAGTTATTTGCTTGTTAAATTTTTGACGTCTCTTCTCGGCTTTGGTTTTAAGAGTACTCTTCACTAGCTCCAACCGTCCGTCGTAGTCAAAATTTTGTTCGGGGAATTTTATCAGCTTGCTCAAGAAGTATTTACTCCGTTTCCCGAACATTATTTCATACGGCATCTGTCCTGTACTTTCATGCACCGAGTGGTTTAGGCAGTCTTCTATAAACTTCAAGTATAATGGCCATCCTGAATGACTCTCATTACAATAAATTCGGCACAATTTCCCTACTTCCTTGTTGGTCCGTTCTACTGGATTTGAGGCTGGATTATATCTGCTTGAATGTATGATTTTTATTCCCATCTTAGTCAACGTATTATTCCATAGCTTGGACGTAAACTGCGTCCCATTGTCGCTTAAAAAGCATTCTACTCGTCCGACTTCCGGTAAGTATTCCTCAATAATCTTGTCTAACATTACCTTGCTTGTTGGTTTCTTAACT